AAAACAAACGTTTTCACATATTTTACATGTAGTTTTTTTGCCAGTTCCTCTTTTGAAAGGTAGACAATTGTTTTTCTCTTTACCTCAAAAATCTTAATATTCTCCTAGTTTGGCCCAGCACAGATCACTTCCCAATAGCAGCAACAGCCTTATATCATAACCACATAAGTGGAGAAAATGCTCAGTAGCAATGAGAGAATTTGCTGTTGCATTTAAGTGATGTTAACTATTATTTAACATTTAAACTTATTTTCAGATTTTTGTATTTATTCAAAAACCCTGGTAAGGGATGTTTTTCTGTATTTGGAGCATCAGAAAAAGTTTTATGGTGGAGGTGATGTTTTAAAGTCACTGAGAAACTGCATGCATGCAGTTTGTTGTTTTGCTGCTAATACAGTAGCAGGTGCAGCTGCATATTTTTGCAATAAAAATGTTATGTTGTAATGGAATTCATGCATTAGTTTTTGTTTGCTTTGAACCCAGAGCACACTTCACACTCCAGACGACATCAACACTGCATACTTTAGTATTTGTTCATTTATCATGAGTAATATCGATATCGCAATATTAACTACTGTTATCGAATATCGCAGGTCTTCCTAATATTGTGCAGCCCTATAACATACAATAACTCTTTGATGACTTGATTATTCTTTTTATTCTGAGCTACTACAGCAATCAATTTCCCTCTGGGATTAATAAAGTATTTTTGAATTGAATTGAATTGAATTGAATTGGTGCGACTTATACTCCGGAAAATACAGTATTTATTTCATGATGAAGACAGGGACAAATGTGATGCGTTCTTCTGATGGATGGATATTTCACCATGGTGGATGCGCGGTACCGTCCACTGTAGTGTAAAGCACAGTGGCTGGTTTACCATTAGGCATAGGTCGGCAGCTGCCTGGGGCCCCCCTTGTGTTGGGGGGCCCCCTAGCCCTGACCGCCGGCACCCCTCTGTTAACGCCACAATATTTTTATTACCAACCTGTCGCTGCAAACGGGATTGGACATGCGCACTAATCATTACCATCATTCCTAAACCGTTCAAGATATCATTAAAATTCCAAAAGTGCTGAAAAGATTAAAAGTGGGGCTTTTCGTGCATATACAATACCTTACGGTAGCCACCGGGATTCCCTGTCTTGAGCGCAACGAATCACAACACAGATTCAGAGACGTGCTGAGTTTGTCATCCAAAATGCTCAGTTTTATTACTTTTGAATGGCTGATCAGATTCAAAGAATTCCAACAGTTCCTAAAAAGTACATATCAGCAGCTTTCCAATGGTTTGTAGCATGAAGCAATCAGAGTTATGGAAAATATCGCTACAAGGGGAAATCCTGCTGTACAGCCTGATTGAAACGGAGTGCAGTGCCACGGTGAAAGCGGATAACGGAACGGGGAAGCTAATCAGCATAAAAACCAGCATAAAATTCTGGAAATGCCTCAAAGAAAATCAACATGATCTATTGAGTGTCCCAGAAGGCTTATGTCTGAAGACAGTGACCACGAAGAAGGACAGCTCTCCAGAGAACCAGGGTATGAATGTTTGTTCAGTCTTTATTTTTTATTTTTTTATTTGAACAACCCTCAACTATTTGCTAATTGTAAGATTCAGCTTCATTCCAGCATTATTTATCTTTTTACAATAAATAATTATTTTTGCTAAAACAAAAGTTTTTGGTATAGCAGTGCACGGTGTGCAAGTGAAGCACCCCATGGCAGTGGGAGGTGCGCTCTGCCTGCAGCTGGAGAGAAACTGCTTCAAGGTCTACCACATCAAATAAAAACGTCTGAAAGTTTACAAAAATAAATGGTCTTAAAAACTGTTAAAAAAAGATACCAAGGTTCAAACTTTTTTAAGAATAGATGCATTACAGTTCAAAGTTTAAATTGTTCATTCCAAATTGTTTGCCCAGCAATTTCGAAGTTCCTGTTCAGTAATAAATGTAAAAAATTCAAATCCCTTTTTTGCTTTTCTCACTTTTAAGCTGATTTTTTAAAGGCTTTAATAGAAATAAATTCTAAATACAAACCATACACTGAAAGCTGAGGTTGTACTGAAAAAAGGAGACAAGTTACACACACTTTGCACTTTTTATTACAATTTTACAGCCATAAGATTAAAAAAATACCAGGCAGCCCAGTTATAATTATGGTCATAAGAGGGTTATTAAGACGGCGATGCACAAACAGGAAGTGATTGGTAGTCATTCCACTCCAATCCAGTTGGTGGCGGTAATGCACCAAATTGTTGTTTGCCAAGTGCCATAAGACCACAAATAATAAGAAGGAGAGAGGCGGGAGCGTTCATAACAAACTCAAAGCGATAGTCAAAACATGAAGCATGAAATGGAGTTATCCTAGTGGCTCCAATAAGAGAAAGAAGCAGCTTGCTTCATAAAAGCTTTTATTTTCACTTCTGAAAGTGACGTCGTTTTTCGATGTAAACATCAAAAGGAAGCAGAAAGGAAAGACAATGGAAAATGTTTAAAGGGAGGAAAACATAGACCAAAATAGAAAATAGAATAAAATAACTAAGGCTAAAGCACAGGAGCACTGACAGGAAGAAGAAAGCAGAGCAAATATTGAAAGCGCTCAAAGGGAGGGAAATACAGGAAAAAGGAGGAGGACTAATAAAAAGAGAAAATAACTCATGTCAGAAGAGGGGAGAGTTTTGCAAATCCAGTTAAAGGTAAGATTGTCAAAAATTTAGTGTAAGGGGCCCCATGTCTGTGTTCGCCTTGGGCCCCCAAATTGCTAAATCCGCCTCTGGTAAAGCGAGATAATTGTTAACAATATTAAAGCTCTGATGTATGATTACATGCGTTAAAATTAGGTTATTTAGTACGAGCGTCGCCGTTAAGAGAGATCCTGCCTCATCTCGGTCTGAGAGCAGCAGCTGAACACGCGGTGACACCTCCAGCAACAAAAACTAGTAGGGATCCAGACATTTTTTTAATCAGCGTTGGTGTAAAGTGAAATGTTATTTATAACATAATGTTATAAATCCAGTCGGGTGAATTTAGGCAAAGTAGGCAGCTTGTTTACATCGATAAATGGCTGCAGAGAGAACTTAAGCTAACGTTCGTAAGCTAGTTAATAACACGTAACTTTTATAAATACCGCTCTGTATGAGTCCCTTCTAGGTGTGCTACTTCTTTTGATAACTGAACATGGGCTTGAACTACTAGATGAAATGTTAAAGATCGCAAAAACAATTTCAGGCTCTACTTTTCCCTTCGTTTAGTACTCCTGTCGCTCACTGTTTACAGGCTTTTGCCGTCCAGTGTGGCGGACCCACGTGATTAGGTGATGTAGGTGCAAAAGGTCAATAATGCAGCTAAATCTATGGTTCAACCGGAATATATGTATATATATATATATATATATATATATATATATATATATATATATATATATATATATATATATTCCTGTTAACATTGTATTTTCAATGAAAACGCTATTTTTAAATAAGAACTAATTGTAGTTTATCATATTTTCTTTTATATCTTCTTGTCCTTAAACACAAGGTCAACAAATAAAAGTAATTACCATAAATACTCTAATATTAGCCTGTATTTAATTCACTGCCGGGGATCATATTTTGGCCGGCGGAGGTGAATAATGGCCGGGTTTTATTGTGGCCGGGTGGAAAGTGGTAACAAGCAAGTACAGGGGGCGGTTGTGTCATCCGTCTCACTTTTGATTTGCCAGTGATAGACCACGAGGGTAACTTTAACCGTGCGGAGACGAAGAGGAGGCGAAAATTTGATATCAAGTTCAAAGAGAACGTGCTGATTATGCTGCAGAACACTCTGGGGAGCAGTAGCAGGGGTTGTATGAACTAGTCACTAGTCGACTTCACCGCTCTATAGTGACTTTTTATGCCTGTCATCGACTAGTCGCTGTCACGTGATAATGACCGGCAAGATGCAGTCCTCGGAAAAGACAGCAGCCTGCTGTCAGCAGGTGACGAGCTCCTGCGCGTCGGGAGGCAACGCGCTGTGCCAGAGCGTCGGCACTGACACCCGCCGTAAAACGGACATTTAACCAAATTGTGACGTTTACCCTCTTTCAATTCCCCTCACCCCCATCCTAACCTTAACCAGCTTGCGCATGCAAAGCTCTGATTGTTGACACGCTCCAGACATCTGCGTCCTGAGCACGGCCACAGTAACATTATCAAATCAGGTGTCGCCACCTCAAAAACTAATTTAACACGCGATCGTTCATGTCGGCTCATTTCCTTTTATGTTTTCTGTCTTTTATTCTTTTATTTGTGCCTGATGCGTTTCGCTGCTGTGGAGCGGGGCGCATCACCTGTTTTGTCCTCGGTGACGCACCTAACTGGTGTGGCCGGTGAGCACTCCGCTGTTTTTGCGGTCGGTAGATCTTTTAGAACTGCAGTTAAAAGGTAACTCATAAGGTGAATATATATGAACCCAGGTAGCAGTTTCTCTTTAGGATTGAGAGGAGATGCAGGAATATAATAAACAGGCAGGACATAAAAATAGTCAAATAAAAACAAGTTAGTTTTTGTACCTGGTGGTTGCAACAAACAGACACCATTGAAGGTAATCAGAAGTGAGGAACAGAAAATGAAATAATTTTTTTAATGTTTAGAGCAGCAGGAACTCTGAGAGGCTGCAGGCGCATCAGTGAGTTTGCAGCCACTGCGCAGGGGGAGGGGGGAGAGGGCTGAAGCAGAAACTACCGTTGTTAAAAGAAATGTGTTTAACTTTGAAAATGTGGGCGCAATTTTAAATGTCAAAAACTCCAGTAAACCATTAGTTCATTTTGCTCAAATAGAAATTTAGGCCTGCCTCTAATTCTGGTCCTCCTTCCATTAAAGGCCTGGAGCTTGATGAGCTTGAGTAAAATACAGGCCCGGGGCTGTATTAGAGGATTTACGGTATTTGAGATTTTTGGGGTGTAGGCGCGTAGACTTGCCAGAGGGTGGCGGTAGTTCGCTCAACTATTTGACCGTAGAAGAAAAAAGCAGCGGAAGTGTGGCTTTCGTTTCCGTGTGACCTATTTAGTTTCATTAGCATCAGTAAATAATCAGCGTTTCAGTCAGACGATGGAGTTATCGGTTTTTAAAATAGGCTTTCCCGTTTTGCGATAGGGTACCTTTTGAAGTTTGCTATCCTAATTGAATCGGTACAAAGTCAAAGATGTATGTCCATTTGAGGCGTTATTAAACGTAGCTGTTATTGTTAGCTACTTTAGATAAGCGGTTGCGGTTAAAATGAGATCTTAGCTGAACGCTGCGTTTTAGGGTGTTTTCTGCTATTTATCCAGTTTATAGTAGCTAGCTGAGATTATCATTTGCTGGCTGTTAAAAACTACACGTTTAGCTTTCACTCGCAGGAACCTTTGGATGTTCAGTGTGGTGAGTAAAAACTCTTAATTAGCAGAATCTCCTGTTAAAGTCTCATATGTTTGTTATCTGTAGACATTAGCTGTTAAATCTTATTTCCAGTCTTACGTTGGTTGTATTTTTGAGCAGAAAGGAGAAGACTGTCTGTCTTTGTGCATGATGCGACTAAAGATGCGGAACTGGGGTTGTTTTTAATGTTTAGCAGTATTTATACAACCCTCACGGGCCAAAAGCGAGCTTTGTACACATTTTTGAATTCTGGTGTTTTTAATTAAATGTGTAGGTTTCTCAAAACAAAGGACACATTTATGTATAATTAGCTCATTGGCCAACACACATCATAATCACATTTTTTCTAGGATTGAGCTTTCGTGTTTAGATGACTTGGATGTGTGACGTCAAAGGGAATCGACTGTTCTGGAGAAATTCCGTCATCCAAGCCAGAGTTGTTATTATATTGGCCATCTGGGACTTAGGGGTTCAGGTTTTTGCACACATTAGTTATTTATCTGAATATAATTTAAAGGTAATTCCTTGATTCTGAATGAGCTGTAGTGATATTTTGGAGATAAAAGGTGGTGAAGAGTGAACTCTTGTTGTTGATCTCACAAGTGACGATGAATGGTGTTTCTAAACGAACACCAGGGTGGTTTGTTTACCATATGAGTGTGATCTATCGTGCAGAGAGGAACACAAAGCTACTGAGAAGTGGGTAAAATAAACCAAGGATAAACAAAAGCCTCACTGATCGTATCTAACACAATATGCCACCCAGCTCCTGGTGCAATCGACTGCCATCTCCCGCCTCGACTACTGCAACGCCCTTCTAACCGGTCCCAGTCTGTACTGTGAGATCTCTTCAATTGGTCTAGAATGCTGTGGCGTGTCTGGTCTTCAATCAGCTTAAAAGAGCACATGTCACCCTTCTGTTCATTGAGCTCCATTGGCTACTGTTAGCTGCACATATCAAATTCAAATCACTGCTAGCATACGAAGTCCTGGATGGTACAGCTCCCATCCAACCTCACGGTGCCTACACCACGCTCAGGACAATCCATACTCTTTTTATGTGTCGTTCCACAGATGTGGAATGACCTACCAAGCACTACTGGAACAGGAGCTTCCTTGTCTATTTTCAAGAAATTCCTGAAGACCCAGCTAACTAGCACCCTCCCTGCACTTGTCCCCCAATCTACTGCAAACTCCATATTTGCCTCCCTCTATGATTGATTATGCTGCCTCACTGCGACCCAGGGTTGACTGAATAGTGTTTGTTGATAGCCTCAAGGGCAACCTGCTGGCTTGAATGTCGCTTATAAGTCGCTTTGGACAGAAGCGCCTGCTAAATACATAAACATATTTGTAGCAATTGATTTTTGTCAACTTTGACAATTTCTCTTTTATGTTTATGTATTTAGCAGACGCTTTTGTCCAAAGCGACTTACAAGTGATAGTCGGCATGTTGCCCTTGAGGCTAACAACAACAATAACAACAACAACAACTTGACATCAATCATGTCAAAATCAATATCCACATCAGATACGATTGGCTCCTCTTGACTTGAGCTAGCTGCCCAAACAGCTGGTTTGTGAGCGGCTATGATTGTTCAGTTGATGTAGCGTGATCATGCTGCACGGCACACACACCCTTCCTTCATGAGAAACATTCTTTTAAAACACAATGAAGTGAAGGGAGAGGGGATTAGATCTCAGGCCCAGAACACAGAACCGCTCTGATGTACGTTTGTCTGGTAGTTCCACCCCAGGCGCATGTGCCCCATAACCAGACTAAATGCTGGTTTCCAGTAAAATTTCAGTTTGCAGTTTTCTTTGTGGAAAACAAAACCACACAGAAGCTGCAATTTATCAGCTGATTCAAAGCAGAGTAAATGGGTGTGAAAACACCCCTAGCGACAAATAAAATAGTGCCAAGAGCTTCCGCATATAATCCCTCGTGTTATTCTGTGTGTCAGCCAGGAAGTGACTCCACAGCCCCATGTCTGCGGAGGCTTCCCTTGGCGGTCATGCTGCCGACTCCACTCTTCCCCAGCCGGTCTGCCACATCTCTGATGGACACAGAAATCTGGGTCTGCTGGGGAGCAAGTATGTCAAGCTGAATGTGGGTGGCTCGCTGCATTATACAACTGTCCAGACATTAAGCAAAGAAGACAGTCTGCTGCGAAGCATCTGCACTGGAGGGACAGACGTCACCATCGACTCTGAAGGTCTGAAGATGTCTTTTAATAACCACCCACCGTTTCTGCAGGATGTGTGTTGTCTTATGTCTGGGAATTTAAACTTTGTAACTTTGGTGTAAGATTTTCATGTCCTGGCATGTTTTATGTGAATTTACATTTTTCAGAAGATTTTTTTTTTTTTTTTACTTGAGAAAACTACCCCTGCTATTCCAGGTTGGGTGGTTTTGGAGCGGTGCGGCCGGCACTTTGAACTAGTGTTGAACTTCCTGCGGGACGGCTCGGTACCACTTCCAGAGGACTCCAGAGAACTGGACGAGGTCCTAAAGGAGGCTCAGTACTATCGAGTACAGGGGCTTGTGCAGCACTGCCTCAGTGCTATGCAGGTGAATAAAAACGCTAAAAGCACACTTTGGCTTGTTGTGAAAGGGCCCGCTCACTTTGATCTCAGTGTAGCAGGTTGTATATTATGTGATTTACTGTTGCATTCAATTTACCAGAAAAATAACGAGTTGTGATCATTTTTGGTTATATTTTGTTTTCCTTTAGATACAAAAGGACGTTTTTGAAAGTGTGTGTTGCATTCCCATGATCACCTCAGCCAAAGAAGAGCAGAGGATGATTGCAACATGTAGGAAGGTGAATCACTCTGTTCTCTGTCAGCTGGAGGATAAAATCACTCCTCTTTCTTTCTTCATCTTGTCCCTTAGGGCATATTAAAGTTAAAAGTTGGTTCTCTCAGTATTGTTGAATACAATGGACATTTTGAAGTATGGCTGTTATTGCAGATCGCTTCCTGAGTGGCTTCTGTTCAGAGAAATGGAGTATTAAGTCCAAGCACAGCCAAAGGAAAATGCTATTCTCATAAAATTACTTTTAATCTTCAAAATGTTTTTGCAGATCACTCAGTCTCTGGAAATCTTAACATCAAGCTTAGTTTTGCATTATATGATAGAAATGTTGTAATTCTCCTGCCAGACATGGCGGACGCGGCACTGACCGTGCTTCAACTTGCTTCTGCTGTAGTTGTTTCATCGTGTAAAGAATTCCATGTAATTCAAAAATGATGCTAATCTATTTCAACTGAAAACCCACTTTTTATGATGTGATGTGACGTTTTTGAGATTGGAGCTGATTTAAGATGTCGGTAATGGAAAATTAGGTCTTGGCTGCGTTCAGACTAGCCGTTGGCTCATCAGTCTGGTTGGACATAAACTGTGTTTCCCACAAAGCTACGGTGTTTTCTACGGTTCGGCCTGTGATCCTCACAAAATTCAAAATAAGTGGCCCCAAAAGTGATTATTTCAAAAACTCTGACCAAAGTGGAGGTTTGTTGATTCTCTGTAGTCAGGATTTGCTTGTGAACGTAAATAACCTGGATTTTAGGTGTTGCTATGTCACAAGTGAGACCTGTTTACACTCGATCTACAAGCTCAATCACTGCTTTATGTAGAAGACCACAGGCCAACGATGATGAGAAAGACGCTTATTTCTGCCACCTAGTCGTTCTTCATCCAAGGAATGTTTCTCAGCAAAGATGCCGATAATTTGAGGAACTACTGCCACGAGCAGGCTTGGCGTGTCTGTAAATGGGCTTCACAATGCACTAGGGGTTGTATCAACTAGTCCACTTCACTGCTCTGTAGTGACTTTTTATGCCTTTCATCGACTAGTCGCTGTCACGTGATAACGACCGACAAGATGCAGTCCTCAGAAAAGACAGCAGGTGACGAGCCCCTGCGCGTCGGGAGGCCACGCGCTGTGCCAGAGTGTTGGTATCTGACGCCCGCGGTAAAACAGACGTTTGACCGAATTGTGACCTTCACCCTCATGCAATTTAACCTTCCCCCCACCCCATCCTGAATCGGGAACAGTAAAGATGCAGAAATTACAGATGTTAGAAGAAATGTGTTAACTTAGAAAATGTGGGCGCAATTTTAATTGTCAAAAACTCCAGCGAACCAACCCGCTTCAGGTGTATGACGTCATCAACGACTAGTCAAAGTCGACTCGATTTTCATTACTTGACTGTCGACTTTAAAAAGAAAAAGTTAAGTCATGCAGCCCCCTACAATGCACTAGATATTTTTGGCTGAAGACAAGATGGTGTGAAGCCGAGCTTTTTCCTATATGGAGGAAATGTGGTTTAACAAAAACCCACCTACATATGGTTGCTAGTAATTATGTATAGCTTCTTGTGAATGGCTGAAATTGCCCTTTAAGGACTGTTTTGTCTCTACAGCCGGTTGTAAAGCTGCAGAACAACAGAGGAAACAACAAATACTCCTATACAAGGTACATTTTAAGCAATTCTGTCGACAGAAAGTGCTGACTGGTGTTCAGGTTTTAATTGTCTCTCCTGGCTTGTTTTGTATTCTGAGCAGCAACTCTGATGACAACCTGTTGAAGAACATCGAGCTGTTTGATAAACTTGTGCTCCGATTTAACGGCCGTGTCCTGTTTGTCAAAGACGTGCTCGGGGATGAGATCTGCTGTTGGTCTTTCTACGGTGAAGGCCGTAAGATTGCTGAAGTGTGCTGCACTTCCATCGTCTATGCAACCGAGAAGAAACAGACCAAAGTAAGCGCTGTCAGATCTCTGCAGGGGTAACGCATTTATTTACTTTCTGACAGTGATGTTGGCTTGTCTTTTTTGCTTAATGAGAAGAACGAGTTGAGACTTCTATGTTTGGATGCAAGCTAAAGTTTTTTGTTTGTTTGTTTTTTTTAGATAGAAAAGCATTCTGTAATAAAAAGTGACCTTAAAGCAGCAATCTGGAGTTATCCTCCTTAAAGGAGTCGTGTATTACTTTTTAGAAATCAGTAAAAGTGATAGTCTTACGCCCGGTCCACACTGGGGGCATCAGTGGCGCGGAACGGCGGCTGGATGATTTTTTGCAGTGCAGCCTCTTTGGCGTCCTCCTCGCTGGACTTTCAAGATCACCAAATCCCTTGAGACTTCTGCTATTAAAGCAAAAGGGGATCACGTCCATGAAGAAAAACACACCGCTGCACTTCTCAAAAGATACTAGTTGTAAATAAGCCTTCGGGTCACATGTATAGACGTTATATACGTAAATAAGACATTACATCTCCACAATAGACTTTTATTTTGAAAATTGCTGAACATTTTACACTGATACTGTCTAGCCCTATGTTAATTGCTAAAATTGAAGCATCCGAGAAGCAACTTGTAGTACAAATAGAGCCCAATCCTGTCTTTAGCGGCCCAGTGTAGGTTTGGTTTGGAACAACCCCATAGACTATAATGGATTCTATTTGAAGCTGCCGTTCTGCACCGCTGATTCCTCCAACGTGGACCTTGCTTAATCCTCTATATATACATATATACTGTATAATTTAAAAAATACGTCATTATTTTGGGGGCTAAGCCCACCCCTGTCCCGTAGAGCCCCATGCAATGTGAATTGAGCCCTGCTTAGCCTTAGCCAATTGCGTTAAGACATCCATTATGTACAGATGTCAATCACAGATCGTCTGCACGCATTTGCAGAACTACCCAGACTGATGCAGAGTTTGCGGCATATTTTATTGACTAATGAATCTTTTAAAATGACATAATAAACAGCATAAAGTTAGACTTATAGTTGCAAAACAATGTTTTAGCTCTGTTGCTCGGCAGGTGCGCGTTCACAAACGAGAGGCGTTGCTTCCGGTCGTAATCACGGAAGTAGGGAGAGGTGCTTAAGCCGCAGTACATTTTTCTGCCTCTAGATGGTGACCTCTGAGAGAAAACTCCAGATTTCTGCTTAAATAAGACTCGGCTCTGTGAATCACATCAAGTAAACGGTTCTCTGTATGTATTGAAGGTTGAGTTTCCTGAGGCGCGGATATTTGAAGAAACACTTAACATCCTGATCTATGAGAACAACAGAAGGTCCGGTCCTGGAGGGCTACACCTTTTAGATCCGTCACTGGGAGCCGGCCATTCCGAGGAAGAGGGTGCTGCAGGGGGGGACAGACGGGTGAGACGGATCCACGTCAGAAGGCACATAATGCACGACGAGAGGGGACACGGCCAGCAGACCGTCTATAAGGACTAATTCTGTGAAAAATAATAGTAGTAAGGCATGGAAGAGTGATTTGTTTAGCTTGTTTGTTTTGAATGCGGTAACAGCTCAGTCTTAACTTATTTCATCAAATGTCTTTAAGCACACTTGCAGAAATCTAGGAATTGACTGATATGTGATTCAGCTTAGAGAAAAATGTTTACAAAAACGATGTGTGTACATTCTTTTGATAGGAAATCAGTAAAAAGTAACTGTGACTGAAACTCGATGACTTCACCTGTTAAAGACTGCTGCAAGGTACAGAATGCCCCAGAAAATCCTAAAGCCAACCCTGATTTTTATTTATAGGGTACGTACTGTTGACTGTGAGAAAATGGCCTGCACTGGCAGCTTCCTTGGTGTTTAATCTGTCGGTTTTCCCAGAGTGTTAATGGTCTGATGTTCACGTTCTCTGCTGAACAGCGACTGACACGCTGTTGACGTGGAGCCTTGACATGTTAACACTGGAAATGAACGAAAAATATCGAGGGCGAATGAGCAGCTCAGTTTTCTTGTTTAAATTATTACACGTGTTGCATCTTGCTGTTTTTTAATTAATTTATTAACCTAATTTATTGTTTGGTATTTAACTTTTGTAACAAATCCAGTGTTTGTGTTACTTATTGCTTAGGTGTAATTCTGCACTCAAATTGTATTTTAGGAAATCAGAAACTTCAGTTCAATGTTTGACAAACTGTGACCAGTTCGTTTGATCTGAGCCATAATCCTTTACTTTCACGTTGTCTTAAACCAGATCACACACAGATTGGCTATGCAGTCACCAAAAAAGGCAGACAAGTGTTTTATTTGCCTCAGGGAGAGGAAGAGTTATTTTCTTTTGAATATTCTGTAGTGACTGGTGCAATCCTAAGCACTCCGAAGAGGGGGGAGAAGAAAGTTTGAATGGGAGATGAGTGTTTGTCAGACCCATAAATGTGGAACTCCTTGAAAAATGCACTAATAATACTTCCATCCTTTGTTCTTGGAAATGTTCTAAATAAATCGCTTATGAAAATGAGCTTTGGCCTCTTTTATTTATTTTATTGTGGGCGATGGTGGCACAGGAGTTAAGTGCTCGTCCCGTAATCAGAAGGTTGCAGGTTCGAGCCCCGCTCAGTCTGTCGCTGTCATTGTGTCCTTGGGCAAGACACTTAACCCACCTTGCCTGCTGCTGGTGGTGGTCAGAGGGACGGGTGGCGCCTGTGCTCGGCAGCCTCGCCTCTGTCAGTGCGCCCCAGGGCAGCTGTGGCTACATTGTAGCTCATCCCCAACGGTGTTTGAATGGGTGTGTGAATGGGTGAATGGCTGATTGTGTTGTAAAGTGCCTTGGGGGGTTCCAGGACTAGAAGGTGTTATATCAAATACAGGCCATTTACCATTTAATTATTTTTTTTTTTATGTCTCAGAATGCTCCACAGTGACTAAATAAAACATTGTTCAGAAATGTCATTTGTTTCTGATGATGAGCCATAGTGGGAATTTAAATATTTAATTTTTAGACATGAATGATAGAATGGATTTATGTGGGCTCTGGTTATAGATAGATAATTCAAATGCTAAATGCAAGAATTTTAATTTTTTTGCCTTTGGGTGACCAGGTTTAATGAAACGAATGGAACCCAAGTATAATGGTTCAAAATAACAGAAAAAACACTTGATATTAATTTATCCTTTGAAGAATATTTGCTTTGTATATTTCTAAGAATATAGGGAGCCTAAGTCACACCCATCTACTTCCAGACCATGGGTCACTGCAGAATGAAAAAATGATTTCAAGTCTAAGGCTAAAACGCTTTTTTCTAATTCTGCTTATGTGCCAAGGATTTCACATATGATGTCCATGAATTTTAAACACGCATTTTAATACCAAGAACTCTTTTATTTTAGGTTTTGTGTGAAAATAAGTCCAGAACTACAAACGCGCGTTACGAAAATGACGTCATCGAACCGCACACGAGAAAAACAAAGGGTAAATGGCTGTAAGTTTAGCGAATTTAAAATCCTTCCTTCAGAAAGAAGCCCCCACCATAAATCTGGCCATTTGGTAAGTAGCAGCTACGCTAGGGGAGAGGAGATTTATGTAGTGACGTCATATATGCGACATGCCGATTTCTAAATTGTAGTCATGCTAATTACGAACGCTTACAAGCTGATAAATATCAAAGTACGTGACTGGCGTGGTCGAAACACCCATCATTAGTTTTCTTTTAAATTGCAGTACAACATATGTGTGATCCAGGGCGTAAGGCAAAGCGAAGTAGAAAATAGCTCTTTTAGCCCCGTTGACTTTCGTTCTTGGGACCCATAGTACGGAAGTGACTTCCCTAAAACGTTGGGGGCGTGGGTGTTCAACGTCATTTCCTGGTTTGTTTACGATTCCCGCCACCTGAAATCAAGCGATAAATTCTAGAAGATGGTGCCAGAAAAAGAGAGGAATTGTCTCCGCAGGTTTGTGGTGGATCAACTGCGCCATGAATCAGATCTAAGGTACATTTAAAACCACGTGCTATCATTTAGCGTTTCTTCTAGGTGAAAACGACTTCTTGGCTTTGTCTGCTTGTGTATTTTTACATTAATTTGTCTATTTTAAGGTCTGTTTGCACATCTGGGCGTTAACTGCAGCTGAAAGACTTTTGGGGTTGTTTATTCGACATGGCGTGTAACTAACATCAGAGACGGAGACGTAATCCAACCGTATATTTTAACAATAATTATAATTATACGCAATCAAAGACCAGAAGTTCCAATTTTTAGTTTTACTTTACTTTGGTGTCACAAATAATCGGACAATGAGCTGAAAAAATCGATTAAATATTGATTTATTGGAATGTCTTTAAGCTTATAAACGATATGTAGCGCCCCCTCCTGGTTGCTTGTGGTAGTTATAGCAAATGTTTTTGTTTATCAGAAACTAAATAAGATGTTTTAAGAAGATTGTTTTACTTAATGGGCTGAAAACCACAACAATCTATGCAAAGAGTGGTCTAGTCTGGTCGTTTTGTCCCCAGCAGATCCAGTTTCATGTACAGAATGTTTTGTTTGTTTAATTCTATGAGCTGGAAAAGAAATGTGTGATTTTTGAAAATTAGTATTATCAAAACATCCTTTTATTGGGCATGTTAAAAACGACATATGCATAATTTAATCCGCTTCAAAATTAAGTTGTCCTCTTAAAGGTTAGTAGAATTATTGAGATGCTTTTTATTTTTCTGTCATTTTAAAGGCATGAAAAAATGTGTGAGCACCTTTCTTTGCTCTAAAAGCTGCTCAATGTGTTCATTCTGCTGTTTTCTCTCAGCACGCTCACATTAGGCATACTGAAGAAGAGGTACCTGGCTCTTGTGAAATGTGAGCCATTAAGTCCAGAGGCGAAGAAGTTCATGAAACAAGTGGTGGAGGAAGAACTTCTGAACATGCAGGTAACTGAAACTTAGGATCATTCTACATGTTTGTCATTTCTTCTGTTGACAGTTATTTTTAATGTGGTTATAAGTCCAACCATTTCTCAAACACTGATGAGCTCATCCATGTCACACGTGTTTGTTTTGATCTAAATGCACCGTCCTGTATGCAGAACAAGTCACACAAGCTTCAATGTGCAGAAACTGCTGAGACTAGTGTCCAGGGACCATCCATAAACGTCAACGTCGGTCACAAAAATACTCGATGTTGTCACAAACTATAGAGTCTGCAGAATGCCGGTCCTCTGCTTGGGAGTTTCTGGGTTTGACCCTGCAGCTGATTCTGATTAGCTGCCTTTAGATGAAGAAGAAAAAGGCTGCTCTGTACAACTTGCATTGGATTCAGTGACTTTGACATGTGTACTCCAGCTTTCCACTGGATGCATAAATGGTGCGTAAGATTGTAAACGCATTTTACGCGTGAGCATCCTTGCCTCCAGCAATGTTACAGACGCAAAACATCAGTGAAGGCATTCCACGAAGCTGGCCCTGCGATGCCTTGGAAGCACCAGAGATGGATCACACGAGATTTCAGCATTTAACATCATAACAAACAAGAAGAACAGCAGCATGTGTACGAAAAGATCTGTGGTTTCATGGGCAATGACGCACTTTTTTTATTAGTTAAGTGAGTGGAAATCTGCACAACTCTTATTTTGATCTATCTCCTGTCTGACCTGATCTCCGCTGCTGAGCTTGACGCATTCTCGAAGCATTGAGATAAAAAAAATGGACCCAAAGCCTTAGCGGGGCTTCTGGCTCGCATCCAAATCGCGATGCTTCACCACCGGCTTCACGGATGTCATGCAATGCCTGCACATCCGATGGAATGGCAATTACATTTAGTTTTATTAAAATTTCTGTTACTGTTGCCTCACAGTTGGAAGGTTGCAGGTTTGATTCCTGGCTTCAATCTCTCTGTGCGGAGTTGGCTTGTTCACCCCATGCATGCGTGGATCCACTCTGGGTACCCTGGTTTCCTCCCACAGACCAAAAACATCCAGATTATGTTTATTGGAGACTCTAAATTGATCTGAGTGACTGGATGTTTGTCTCTGTCTCTCTGTGGTGGACTGGAGACTTGTCCAGTGTGTCCCCCCACCTCACCTAGTGACTACTGGAATTAGGCACCAGCTGCCCACCACTTCCTTTCTCAGAATCATCAGCGCTTGGAAGTGGAACGGTACAGAGAAGCATTACAGGATGTTGCACCACAGCATGGCAGGGGTCATCAATAGAAACAATGGAGGTGTACTCTATTATTCATGTGACATCAGTATGTTTACAGTACGCAACACGGTAGTTCTAGTGAGCATCTTTCCAAAGTAAGAGCGTGCTCGTAAAGCAGGATGTCGTATTATAATGTTTTTGTGATCATTAGAGGCTGAAATAAAAAATACAAGGTATATTAAAAGCATAGTTTTTAAATGATTTCTGTTTATATTGTTTCTTTAAGGAAAATGCTGAAAATGAAAGTGACTCTGAGATCAAGGGGCCCCAAAACAAACGGAAGAGAGAAACCAAGCAAAAAGAGGTGGAAAGTGAAGAAGAAAAAGACCCCCGAGCAAAAAAATCTCGTCGTGTTTCAAGCTCCTCATCAGGTAGGTTGTAACGCAAATATGTATTTAATGTGTCGGTTTCATGGTGCTGTGATGTTAATGTTGATTTTTCAGATTCAGAGGTTGAAGAGAAATGCAAAACAGGAAGTCCAAAACAAGCAAAATCTCACGCTACGGGTGCAGGGAAACGAGTCGGAACAGATGGGAACGCAAAACAGCCGACCACGAGCGAGGATGACTCTTCTGATGAAGAAACGAAGAAGTCAGAACAAAGTGAGAGCGAGAATAACGAGAGTCCAGAGAAAATGGCAGAAAAGGAATCGAACACTCCAAAGACGGAAGGGAGAAGTCCTGAAACGAGTGATGGGAAGGAATCGGCGGAGAGTGATGAGAGTGAAAGTGGTTCAAATGGGAAGTCGGAACAAAGAGGCGACAACAGGAAGTCGTCCGGCGCTGAAAATAGTGACCGATGAATTTATACTTATTCAAGTTTTTATTAGTGTTTATAGGAATGATTGTTAATGTGTGTCCTGCTGATGTGCCACAGAGGAAGTCACCGTGGAAAAGAAAACCAACAATTCAGACTCCGGTTCATCGTCCTTGTCCTCTCTGGAGGACAAGAGTAAAGGAGCGGCTGAAGATTCAAAAAGTAAGAAGAAGGTGAAAAGAGATCAGAGCAGCCAAAAGGTGAGCTCCGTCTGAACTTTAAACGGTTTCAAAGTTGCTGTTACAGATCACCGCTTTCTTTTAGATTCCTCTCAGATCCCAGAAGATGAAAATGAACAACTTGACTAAAATTAAAGTGTGAGTGAAGTGTAGACCTAACGTTTTTTTCTCCACCCTGCAGAATGACGACAAAGCTGTCGTGCGTCTGAAGCGTTACATTGCCCTCTGTGGTGTGAGGAGGAATTACAAGAAACTGCTGAACAGCTGCAGCTCCACCCGCTCCAAGCTGGCTGTTTTAAAGAAGGAGCTTGAAGATCTCGGCGTTCATGGTCATTGGGATGTTTACCTATTTACAGCCTTTACATCTTTGCTTAAAAACTGTGAAAGATTAAATATGTTGACCCGTTTGATAATCCAGTAGAGCACCAGAGAAGTTTTTGTGGTTTTTAATAATTCCAAAACTTGTTTGCTGTCATCCTGACTTGATTTTTATACATTTAAGGTACTAGTTTTTTACTTAATACTTTAATCTACCTAATATGTCCGCTTGCCCTTTAGGAAACCCAACCATTGAGAAATGTAAAAAAGTCCGAATGAAGAGAGAAGAGGCTCAGGAGCTGGCCGAGCTTGATGTCTGCAACATCATCAACACAAAAGGTATCTGGGTTTTCTTTCTCTTGTTTTTGTGTGTGCATCTCTGTGTGTTTCTGAAGAAGATCATTCATCAGTTCTCTCTTTCCAAACACTTTTAAATACCCAAACAAAACAGGGATGTGGAATATCTTGCTTTAGTTCAAAAGCACAGATAACGCAGCACAATTTTCTACCTCCCTGTTTTACTTTTTTCAATTTCAGACACAGGTTTTGCTTATTTCCTACAAAAGGAGAATGATTCAATCATAAGGACTCATAACTTCTGTTGGTATTCAGTCCGCAGTGCTGGTCTTGTTGTCAAACGCTCTAACACTTAGGTGTGTTTACTTTTTTAGGTCGTCCTACTCGCAGAGGAATGTCAAACAGGCAGGACCCTCCGTCCTCCGGCTACAAGCGTGCTCTGAACTCCGGATCTGACACGGAAAAAGAGAACAACCCTGACAAAGGACGCAGGAAAATCTCAGAATGGGCCAATCTGCGAGGGATTATCAGTGATGATGCAGATAGTGACTAATAATAGTTTCCCTTTTGTGTTCTCAGTAATAACTTTATTATGGTTGCTACTTGTTTCTTTTTTTTCCCTTCTGATATTAATCTTTCTGAATATTTAAAGTATATTTTTTATCAAATTAAAGTTGTTTGTGGTTGGATTTTGAGTTTGTATGCTGTTACAAGGTTTCATTGCAAATAAATCTTTAAACTGAAATTGTATTTTTACTTTAACATAAAAATATTTATGTTCAGTTCTGGTTTTGTTAAATCCTAAAATTGTAATTTTCAGAGACTGCAAGTTTCATCTAACAGTGTTCTAAGGATGCATCTTGAAAGACCTTGTCAACTCCCTTTGGGCTGTTTTAATAAACTAAAGAAGTTCATCAGCATCTAAGAGTATACAAATCTTGAGTCAATAATGGTGTGATTTGTACAATACAATATACTTAGGAGCTCGCAACTATTTTCTTTCTACATAATTTACGGTGTAATAGAAAAGACGTATTTTTGAGTGACCGGAAGTGAGGTCAGAACTCAGTAACACGGAACATTTAGTAGATGGACCGGTCCCACATGCAAATGTGTCTGCCTGCAGTCCGTAAGGTGAATAAGGGTGTTTTAACCATTCATAATATATATGTCTGGTTTTAACATTAAAAGCACGTTGTTAGCTTTCTTTTATATTTGAAGTCAAACGTTTGAACTTAAAATAAATTATATCGTGTCTGTTTAATGGAAATCTCCGCCGTTAGGCAGCTTTACGAAAACAAATGGAAAACAAATGTATTTCATTTCGCCAATTGTGGCGCGTGCCATAACTTTTCTGTCAATCATCAAATTGAACTGTTTCAGAAAATTATTACATAGTGTATTATCTACTATTTTTATAGTGTTATTAGTAATTTTATAAATGTAAAATTAGTAAAAATTTTGCTAATTACCAAGTGAGTAACGCACTGTCCTCACTATTAGATGTAGCACACAATGGTTTGGACAAGTTACTCACACTGACTTGTTCAAAATCTCATACAGTTATATGTAAATATGTGTGTTTGATAAAACTGGATTTTCATGGACTAAACACACGTGTCATGCAGGAATGGACGATGACACGTCTGATGAGGCCTTCACAGAGCTCAGGAGCAGGAACCTCGGAGGTTGGGGGGTTGCTCAGATAGCTGTGGGCACTGGGCTTGCTGTATACGCAATGTGGGTGGGGATCCTCCAGCCAGGCTTCAGAAAAGTCCCATTAAGGCTACAGGTGTGTGTATGTACGGTGTGTAGAACATTTTGTTTAGAGTCTGACCTCCTTTTCTTCTCCACTCTATTTTGTCCAGGTCCCCTACATTCCTGCCAGCAAAGCTCAAGTACAAAATGTTATGACATTGCTGAGAGGTCGAAAGGGGGATCTTGTGGATTTGGGATCGGGAGACGGTCGCATTGTAAATAAGAGTGTATAATCAAGATTGATGGAGTTTTTCTTTTTATTATTTTACATATTTATTAAAATTGTTGTCATTTAATCCCAAAAGGTCTTGGAAGCTTATCGCCATGGTTTTAGTCCAGCAGTTGGTTATGAGCTAAACCCCTGGCTGGTGCGCCTTGCCCGTTTTCACGCCTGGAGAGCAGGTCATCACGGAAAAGTGTCATATAGACGAGAAGATCTCTGGAAGGTCTGACTTTTACTTTCCTGCTGTAGATTCAGTATCACAACCATCCAGTTGTTTATTTCATCTACTAGTTCCATTTCATTTTAAGTGTGCTTTCCCAAATAAAGGTTATAAATGATCATACCCAGAGTTTTTCTCTGCAAACTAAACTGCTAATAAGCTTGGCAACATTTTGAAGTTAACTGATCTCTTGTTTTTGTCAGTCTTTCTGTATATCTGCTGTGTTTACATGACACCGCAGCTCAAAGGACGACCATAACTATAGAATAAATCAGTTTCTTACAAAGCTAACAGTTTTAAGCTCTTTAACTGGTTGGCTTATGTTTTTACTATTATTTATGTGACGTAAGTAAGGATTTAAATTTGTGTTGACTCACTTCAAAAAGATTTCCTGAATATTTTAAATTGGATCATTTTATGTGATAATGGTATAACTATAGCAGGAACCAAAATATGTGTTTTTGTTCATATTTCGCTTCGTATCTCCTCACAGGTTGACTTGACAAAATGCAAGAACATCACAGTGTTTTTGGCTCCCAGTGTGGTAGGTAATGTGAAGAATATTTCATAAAGTTATGTCTTTGTTTTTAAATTGATAAACCTCAAGGCAGCTTGAATTGGTGTATAGTAAATCATTAATTTAAGTTAATATTTTCTCTCAAAATAAACACAGATTTAATCTAAATTCTTAGGTTAAAATAACAATTTAGTGTTACATTTATAAGCTTGATTTTTTTTATTACATAATCAGTAATGTTATTTCCTTGTTTTTTTGATAGCTTCCATTATTGCAGGACAAGCTGAAGGCTGAGCTTTCTGACGACGCCCTAGTGGTGGCCGGACGTTTTCCCCTTCCAGACTGGAGTCCCTGCCGGGTCGAGGGTCGAGGTGTGGACAGAGCCTGGGCTTATAACATACAAGAACAAAGAACGCACACTCGTCAGAGAGATAATAGCGTCGTGGCAACAGGGAGCGATGCTGACAATAAAGTAATCCCCGAAAACATATCTTGAAATCCCTTGGAGAATGTTAAAAAGGTGAAATTTTCTTCATTGAAATATTGAAGATTTTAAATTATTTTCAGTACTTTTTTATTTTATCAATAGCAAAAACTAAGTACACTGACCTCTAGTAATGCATGAAAATCATCTAGCTGTTGCCAGATCCCTACAGATGCAGAAAGGCAACAATAAAATATCTTACAGTATCATTAGGTAGTTACAAAAATAAAATAAAGTTCTAAAGGTTCATCGTACTGATGCATGGAGCATTTAGAGACGAGCTTCAACTGTTGATCACATGTCACTATAGAATAAGTAGATGTACAGAGGAGTTCTTCTCCTTTTTTATTAAAGCAGTATGGACTTTTTACCCCAGGAGTTCGACATTTAGGCTCATTTTGTCCAAATGAAATAAGGTCTTATACCACTATGTATAAGGGTATACACCAGGCTGCATGGTGGTGCAGTGGTTAGCACTGTTGCCTCGCAGCATGAAGGTTGCAGGTTCGAAACTTGGCTCAGCTGCGGCCTTTCTGCGTGGAGTTGCGTGTTCTCCCCATGCATGCGTGGGTTTCCTCCGGGTACTCCGGTTTCCCCCACAGATCACAACATGCCCTATAGGTTATAAATTGTAAGTCGCTTTGGATAAAAGTGTGCTAAATGAATAAACATAAACTATGTCATGTTTTTCTCTTGTCTGTCTGAGGTTGTATTTGTCTAGGAACCCAGTTAATACCTTCTTTTATTTTGGCCTAACATGTTAAGCCTTAGAAATGAGAGACTGACATTTTAAATGTCAAACACTCAGTATGAGCCCAGTTCACACACAACACAATGCTAATGTTGTTAATGTGGAAAAAACCATTTGCTGTTGTATTTATCTAAACACCACACTTTGGCATCAGGCTAAAAACCAAAGGTGTGTGTGAGTATGTGTATATATAAACATATACATATATATATATAATTTCTTAGGATGACATGCACTTATTCGAAATCTGTAAATTATACTCTACGGTACGGTTATTGCCATTGTTTATTTACAGGCAATAAATTGTCATACATGATGTGAACCTTGATTTAATATATCAGCCTAATTATATTAGCTTGGAATGTATTTTATTTACCTTCTAAGCTGCTGTTGGTTTGTTTTTATACTCTATGTTTATATATTTCACAGCTTTTTAAAAAAGCAAGTAACACCACTTACATTTTCACCAGAGTGTTGGCATCAAATGAGTATTTTTATTTTGAACACATGACATCATTCACACAGACAAAAAGCAAACAATTTCTTTGCATTTTTAAAGGGGAGTGGGGTGCATTTTTAATAATTATAAGGTAATGCTCATGTAAAAAATATATAATAATTATAAATAATATTGTTTATCCGTGTATTACAACTTCTCACATTTTTATATATTTGTAGTCTAAAGGTTTTTGTTTTCCAGATATTTTAGTGTATGATTTAGATATGCACTAAAATGCGATCCCAGAAGATTACTTATGTCTTTTAAAATTTAGGATTTAATCGATGATTTCATAAAAATTTGAGTATCTGGTGTTAACCTGATTGTGTGAGAGAGATAACCGATATTTATATGTCGATGGAAATAACCTGTAAAAGTAGCGGCGCAGCGTGACAGAGCTCCCCGGAGATCAAGTCCCTCCTACGTCACTGACTTCTCACGCGCTGATTGGGCCGCTTGTGTCAAAAGAGGAAGTTGCGAAGCAGACCCTAAACCTACAGCTAGCTGTTGACTTGAGCCGCCCAAATCGTTCAGAAGGGAAAGGGGAAATAACAGCACCAGCCTTATATACAATTATGTCGTTTTAGTGTTGAAAGGTTGAAATCGTAAATGTGCCTAATAATTTGTTGAGGAATCATAAAACGCAAAGACGGTTTGAGCAGCAACCACAGAAGCATGACTACGGCTGACATTTAAGCTAACGAAAATAATTGTCTTCATCCTAGAAAAGCTAACAACTTAGCCATCCGCTACAGCGTTAGCAACCTGGTCATTTTGCGTCGAAATGGCAGACATTGGACGGTAATTAATGCTTCACGCTGTGTCGGAGCTAGAAGAGTGGAAACTAGCTCAATTGTCGACAAAAATCAAGAGAACATTGCCGACTTAACGGTAAATGTTGGCGAGAAATGACAATGCAGCTAACACATTTTGTGATAAGTGGTTCAACGGTCAACCTACTCGTGTGGTAAATGTATTTTCTTTTGGCAAGGCAAAAACATCTGTCTTATATGTGTTGTTTTAAAGCAAAGTCAAGGACGCCGGCCCTTTCTGGTGAAATGTGTTTGGATTTAAGCAGCCGTGCAGATCATGAAGCCAGTCTGCGATTACCAGCAACACCTTAGCTAACGTTAGCATTGCCTGTACTAGAGAGAGAGATAACTAATGTCGGCCTACAAAGGTTATTAATCAGCGACTAAGTGGACTGAAGAAAGCTTTCTGAGCCAACTGAACATGGTGAGTCAAATTTAGCATGTCATATTTGATCAGTCATTGTTTTGCTGTCATATTTCCCAGCAGCTGATCATTTGTTGCTCGTCTTGGGAAGGGAAAGAGCAGATAAAGTGCGTAAATTTAGTGCTACTGTCTTGTGATTGAATTTGTGATTGATCAGCCAGCTAACGGTTTGAGGTTTGAACCATTTCATGCTTCATGAAGACGCCCTTCTTACAAAATCGGATGTTTGCTATTGTTGAGCCTCGGCAAGTTGTGGCTTATTTGAGGAATTTAAGCCTGTCTACTTGCCTGCCACAGGGACTATGGTCTTTGAAGGGTCGGTTTGGTCAAGGTTTATGACGTCCTTCCTTAACAGAAGCCAGATCGCATATTTATATTGCAGATCTGCTTGTGTGGGATACAGTCTGCGAAAATCCCCACACAGATCTGTAATAGTTCCAGAGAAAGGGGCATGATAAAGTTTGCAGGTACAGACATGTGGAGGGGCCCACTGCGACTGATGGTATCTACCCCTCCGGACTTTATTTCTGTTGCATGTAATGAATTTGTTGGAAATGAGCAAAAATGCCTAATACATATTTAAATTTGAGGATAGGTTTTGTTGTAGCTGTTTCCTGATTTTGCAGTGGATGCGAGAAATTCAGTGGTTCGTGCTTTGAGTGTTACAGAACAATTAGCTTAACTTTGCCCTTTATTCTTTTATCATTGCTTAGGCTTCAGAGGAGGCATCCCTGCGTGCATTGGAGAACCTAATGACAGAGTTCTTTCATAACTGCACGACTAATGAGCGGAAAAGAGAAATAGGTGAGTGTGACGTAAAGAGGGAAAACAGCACATAGTTCGGGTGCTTGGGTCTTGTCATTACTGTAAAATGTTTTAGACCTCGCACAACATTCACAATTCTTTATAAATTCAAGTTAAACTTTCATTATTATTTGGGGTTATGGTTGTTTGAACTCAAAGGAGAGCGTAGTCATTAAATAGCTTGGCTTTAGAAAGTACAAATGTTACGATTAAAATACAATTTCTGCCATTTTAGAGTTTTTTCAGTGTAAAAGTTGTATATATACTTTTTTTTTTTTTTTTTTTTTTGCTGTCATCATCATTACCCGCTTTTGTTTGAAGAAACAGGGTTCAAGTGTGATGGGACTGATATGCTAAGCTAGTCTGAATCAACCCACAATAATGGCTCCAATCTCTTAGATTTGCTGTTCTTGCAAGCGTTATTTAAAACACCTTGACATTGACATCATTTTTGCCTTACTCTGTTTTAAAGAATTCCTGGATTTTGACCGTTGATGCACCAAAAGGGCCACATTTAACTGATGCTGGTATATTCATGCAAAAAAAAACATCATGGAGCTAAGCATGCTATGCAAAACTGACCTCAGTTTAACATTTATAACATTCATACGAACTGCAATGAAGTAATCCGTTTTAAGATTTTGATCCAGGCTGCTGTCCGACTAGCCGTTAGCGTGTTGGACCTTTAAAACATAAACACTTTGTTTGTGCAACATCTAATTTTAAATAGATGCAAATATCACTTTAAACTCACATAAATAAATTATTTGAGAAGCCTAAATATTGCAAAATAATTTGAACAGAAATCTGTTTAGCAAAAAGCAATGTTGCTCATTTTTATCCATCACAGCATCACTTACACCTACACAAGGTTTAGTTGCATCATGTTTATGTTGTCATTTCTTTAAATTAACTCAGGGAATCTTTTATGGAGAAAAAATATTTCATGCCAAATAGAGCTTATCTGTGACTAGGGCTGTAGCGAAGCCTCGACGAAGTCGACGGCTCGATTCTAAAAATTTGTCGACGTCAGATCCGGAAGTCGACGCACCGCGCCCACTTGTTGCATCCCCAGGAGTTTGTAAATAGAGGAGGAATCTGCCTGTTTTTCCTCTAGTTCGCCCTCTTCTCCGCCTTCACTAACATCTCCGCCAAACACCGAAGACCCGGAACAACGTCCGTCCACTACTAGATTATTTTCCTGTTTTGCCCGCCTTCGTCTCCCAGCAACGGACAACAACTTCCGGGGTCAGATGCGCTGCTTCGTCTCTACCGCAGATGTAGAACATCACCGGGAGCATTTCTCCCTTCATTAAGGAGCTTCTTTCAGACATTAGGAGAGCTGTTTTGGTGGTAGCAGTCTCTCCTCCGTGCTGGTCTGTTTGCTGCTGGGTGTTTTTGGTTTATTTAAACTTGGTAACTTGAACTTAATGTTGGTAAAGCTACTGTTAGCATCTTCGCTAACAGCTTCTTGCGTTGGAATCAGCTGTAACGTTTTGGTTTAGAGTTCATCTTTTTTGTGGTGTAGATCTCCCTTTTATTACATTTAGAGTGTTGTGGGTTTTCGGTTTAGTGTAAAATATCACCTGAGTTTGGTTTAACCCGTAAGACCACTCGCCTCACGCACATAAGTGACCAAAACAAAGCAGCATGGAGACACTCCATTTTCTACCACCTCTCAGGCAGCAGCCTGCACTCCCAAGTTCTACATGTCACCAGAACATAACCAACCAACACAATAAACGCAGTGTTATACAAAATGGAAGGCCTGTAGTGTTTATTCTCTTACAGTAACAATTTATCAATTTTTTTGAGGAATTTATTTGAGATTTTCTGGTTTTTGTTAATTGTGCAATAGAAAAATAATCATTAGATTAATTTTCTAAATAGTCATTAGAATAGTCGACTATTCGATAAAATAATCGTCAGAATAATCGTTTTAAAAATAATCGTTTACCCCCAGCCCTATCTGTGACGTAGGATCATGTGATCATCTGCTTCAATTTTAAATCTTAACCACTCAAATCGTTAATGCGAGTCGATCCGTCCTCCTCCTCATTTCCTTTCAGTGACGTTAAATTAAGCCAATATGAATTTAAGAAACTTCTAAAATAAAGATGGTGGATTTCTACCTATTCTTATGTTAATCTAGTAATAGAAGTATTATTCAATGTTTTTATGTTTGAAAATGTCTCCAGTTAAGTCATTTTAAAGGCTTATCTGTCTTTAATTCTGAACTCCAGATAAAATTAACCGTTACAGAAATATCCAGTGGATCTCTGGACAAGATATTTGTATACATGTATATAAGATGTGTGTAGTCTAGTTTTTTTGCATAGGTTTTCTGCATTTCCTGTGTTTCTGTATCTAACTTTCAGTTTGCCTCTCAGTAAAGTAGTAAAGTGTGTACTTCTGAAAGGTCTCCTACTTCCTTTTTTTCTCTGCAGAAGAGCTGCTGAATAACTTTGCACAGCAGACCGGAGCATGGCACCACTGCATGTTCTTCCTCTCCCATACTCGGAATGAGTATGTCATGATGTTCAGTCTCACGGTGTTTGAAGTAAGTCATGTAGACAAGAGAATTTCAAAGTACTTTCTAGGTTCCTGTTGCTTTTGATGCTTAGACAAACGAGTCGGTTCTCATAGAGAAGACTTGTTTTAGTGAGACAGAAAACAGCACAAGGTGTTATGCAAATAATATGTGCTCCTCATGTCCTTTTCCTTCATTTATAGTTTCATTTCTGTAGAAAATAATGCTACGTATAACATTTTTGTAAAGAAGCAGACAAGTCCTTTTTACAAGCAAAACACCTAATATTGATTTGATTTGTATTTATTATTTCAGGCTTGGACTGGGCAATATCTTGAGTAAAATTTTTTATTTATTTATTTTTTCAAACAAGACACAAGATGACCCAGTAAAGCTGGTCGATTCATTGAATTTTTGTCTCAGTAATGATCTACACGCACCTAAAGGATTATTAGGAACACCTGTTCAACTTCTCCTTAATGCAATTGCCTAGTCAACCAATCACATGGCAGTTGCTTCAATGCATTTAGGGGTGTGGTCCTGGTCAAGACAATCTCCTGAACTCCAAACTGAATGTCAGAATGGGAACAAAAAAGGGGATTTAAGCTATTTTGAGCGTGGCTTGGTTGTTGGTGCCAGACAATCTGCTCAGTTACTGGGATTTCCACACAACCATTTCTAGGGTTTACAATTAATGGTGTGAAAGGGGAAAAACATCCAGTATGCGGCAGTCCTGTGGGCGAAAATGCCTTGTTGATGCTAGAGGTCAGAGGTGAATGGGCCGACTGATTCAAGCTGATAGAAGAGCAACTTTGACTGAAATAACCACTCCTTACACCCGAGGAATGCAGCAAAGCCTTTGTGAAGCCACAACAACCACAACCTTGAGGCGGATGGGCTACAACAACAGAAGACCCCACCGGGTACCACTCATCTCCACTACAAACAGGAAAAAGAGGCTACAGTTTGCAACAGCTCACCAAAATTGGACAGTTAAAGACTGGAAAAATGTTGCCTGGTCTGATGAGTCTCAGTTTCTGTTGAGACATTCAAATGGTTGAGTCAGAATTTGGCGTAAACAGAATGAGAACATGGATCCATCATGTCTTGTTACCACTGTGCAGGCTGGTGGTGGTAGTGTAATGGTGTGGGGGATGTCTTCTTGGCACACTTTAGGCCCCTTAGTGCCAACTGGTCATGGTTTAAATGCCACGGGCTACTTGAGCATTGTTTCTGACCATGTCCATCCCTTCATGACCACCATGTACCCATCCTCTGATGGCTACTTCCAGCAGGATAATGCACCATGTCATGAAGTTCCAATCATTTCAAACTGGTTTCTTGAACACGACAATGAGTTCAATGTACTACAACGGCCCCCACAGTCACCAGATCTCAACCTGATAGAGCGTCTTTGGGATGTGGTGGAATGGGAGCTTTATGCCCTGGATGTGCATCTCACAAATCTCCATCAACTGCAAGATGCTGTCCTGTCAACATGGGCCGACATTTCTAAAGAAGGCTTTCAGCACCTTGTTGCATCAATGCCATGTAGAATTTAGGGTATCGGTGCCGATACGATACCAATACCAGTATCGGTATCGGTAAAAGTGAACCGATACCAATGCAGTTGCTTGAAAATGGCTTCACTGTAACTTGTCATTTCTGTTCGCATAATATTTTAGTTTTGTGATGATTTCCATTCATATATTTTACTTTTTATCTACCTCACAGTCTTTTCATGTTGAAAGCAGAGAAGAAAATAAAATCTGTATTCCAAATCATCGCATTTTTTTGTGTGGTAGAGGTATCGGTATTGGTAATCGGTATCGGCGAGTACTCAGATCCAAGTATCGGTATCGTATCGGTTTGGAAAAAAGTGGTATCGTTGCATCCCCAGTAGAATTAAGGCAGTTCTGAAGGTGAAAGGGGATCAAACACCGTGTTAGTATGGTGTTCCTAGTAATTCTTTAGGTGAGTGTAGGTTTGCAACTATCATAAAAACAAAAGATTCAATATATATATATTTGTTTTGTTCTTCGCTGTTTACTCTTGTGCTGTTCCGAGTTGCAAATAAAGCGCACCTCCCACACAATGTTATCAACAGCAACTTTGTCGCTATTTTTAATGGTGCCTAGTGACAAACCCAATATTTCTGAGTCCACTTGGCTACTTTCTGTTGAAATTTGTCATCAATTTTCCTGTTATTTATCTGTATTTGCACTTCTTTTTCCCCAAGACGAAGCTTTGCTTTTTTTTTTTTACTCCAATGAGAGATATTTGTCTCAGTTAAAAGAAATGTCTGAAATACTAAAGATAATTTGTGTTTTCAACATTTGTTAAAGATCACTGTGAATAATAGAGATCTCAACTTCAATCAAAATAATTGTGATTAGGGTGAACTGATCCCAACTCGCCAGATGTGGGACAACATACAATTCCAATGCAACGCCATAAAATAAAATCTTTTTTTTAATCTATTCTGCCTTTTAACTCAAGCATCACTGTTAAATATACATACAATTATTATTAATATCATCATATAGTTTATGTACTATGTTTTCTATTCAAATTTGAACCTGGGCGATGATGGCACAGGAGCTAACTGTAATCGGAAGGTTGCAGGTTCGAGACCCGCTCAGTCTGTCACTGTGTCCTTGGGCAAGATACTTAACCCACCTTGCCTGCTGGTGGTGGTCGGAGGGACCTGCGGCGCCTGTGTACGGCAGACTCGCCTCTGTCAGTGCGCCTCAGGGCAGCTGTGGCTACAATTTAGCTCATCATCACCAGCGTGTGAATGACCGACTGTGTTGTAAAGTGCCTTTGGGGGTTTCAGGACTCTAGAAGACGCTTTATGCAAAAACAGGCCATTTTAACAAGCAAACAGCTAAAGAAGTCAGAGTCTGGGGCCACAGTTCCTCTCAATTTACCACAGCTTAACTCAGACCTTCTACAGTGGCTCTGAATAACTTTAGCTAAAATGAGTTTAAACCTTTAACTCATTATAAAAATGTAGTTGGGCTCATAATAAAAAATGTAGGTTTAAGCAGCATTTAAGAGTATCAGTAACACTTTTAGATCTATTTAATCTAGTTTTTGATTTCTTTTCCACAAAATTCAGCATCCCGTTGAAAAGAAATCCATACCATTTTTGCTATTTTTTCTTCTTAATTCAGAACCAAAATGGTGGGTTTTTGTTTGTTTGTTTGATTAAAAAAATCTCTTCTAGTAGACATTTTGGTGAGAGAAAAAAAAAACATCACTGACTTTAATTACTGAAAAAAATTCAGATCTAATCCAATAACAGTTCATTAGCATTATTTTTTCCTCAAAATTCTGAGAAAAGGTAATGCAGGCTTCCATTTGCTTTCATTATTTCTTTAATGTGTTTTAAAAGGGTTTATCTTGTATGCATGTATGGTATTAAAACCTCCTTTGGGACCTGTCTAATTTCTGGGAAACCTGCTTCTTACCAACACGTTTTATGTAACTCTCAGATTTTCTGCATTGTTTTATATCGGACTCTGCGCCGTGACACGAAAAAATGACTGAGAAATGTTATAAAGACTATGTCAGAATCTCCCTGAACACTTTTAGCCCACAAGTTTATTCTGAAAGCATTTTCTCCACTGCGCTCATCTGTCCTCTGTGCTTGCTGACGCTGATGTTTTGGTGGTTCGGGTGCATGCTCTGGACCTGCGGTAAAGTCTTGCCCCACCTCCTAGTTCAATTTACAACAAGCAGCTTTCTCCACACAGTTTATGCAGGATTAACACTCGTAACGGTAGACTGTCGATGATGAGGGACATGAGTCTCAATTTGCGGGACATGAGAAAAGTGATGAAAATGTGGGACATCTGGTCACCCTTTGCCATAATCAAGCAGCCTTATGGCACTGTTTAGTTTATAATGACATAAATATACAGGGTGGGCCATTTATATGGATACACCTGAATTAAATGGGAATGGTTGGTGATGGTAACGTCCTGTGTGTGGCACATTAGTATCTGTGAGGGGGCAAACTTTTCAAGATGGGTGGTGACCATGGTGGCCATTTTGAAGTTGGCCGTCTTGGACTGAACTTTTGTTTTTTCAATAGGAAGAGGGTCATGTGACACATCAGACGTATTGGGAATTTCACAAGAAAAACAATGATGTGCTTGGTTTTAACTTTATTCTTTTATGAGTTATTTACAAGTTTCTGACCACTCATAAAATGTGTTCAGTGTGCTGCCCATTGTGTTGGATTGTCAATGCAACCCTCTTCTCCCACTCTTCACACACTGATAGTGGCACCACTGGAGAAATGCCAGCACAGGCTTCCAGTATCCGTAGTTTCAGGTGCTGCACATCTCATATCTTCACACCTGAGACAATTGCCTTCAGATGACCCCAAAGATAAAAGTCCTCAGTCCTTGGGGGCCATTCAATTGGCGCACGACGACCAATCCACTTTTCAGGAAACTGTTCATCGAGGAATGCTCGTACCTGACACCCATAATGTGGAGGTACACCATCTTGCTGGAAAAACTCAGGGCTTCAGTGCATAAAGAGGGAAACGCATCATCATGTAGCAATTTCAAATATCCAGTGGCCTTGAGGTTTCCACTGATGAAGAATGGCCCCAGTATTTTTGTACCCCATATACCACCATGCCATCACTATTTTTGTTCCAACAGTCTTGGAGGGATCTATCCAATGTGGGTTGGTGTCAGACCAATAGCGGTGGTTTTTGTTTGTTAACTTCACCATTCACATAAAAGTTTGCCTCATCACTGAACAAAATCTTTTGTGTGAACTGAGGGCCCTGTTCCAATTTTTGTTTTGCCCATTCTGCAAATTCTGTGCGCTGATCTGGGTCATCCTCGTTGAGATGCTGCAGTAGCTGGAGTTTGCAAGGGCGCCATTTGTGAGTAGCTAATATCTGCCGAAGGTATGTTTGATTAATGCCACTCTCCAGTGACATGCGGCGAGTGCTACGCTGTGGGCTCTTGCTGAATGAAGCTAGGACAGCCACTGGTGTTTCTTCATTAGTGACAGTTTTCATGCAGGCGTTGCTCCTGCTAGCTTGCTGCTTCTGTCTGGGGAGACGGTGGCTCAGGGGTTAGGTGTTCACCCTGTCGATGGGTTGCAGGTTCAAACCCAGGCTCCGTCCATGTCAGTTGTGGTGTCCTTTACATGTATCAGATGTCTCTTTCACTGTCAAAGGTTATCACATGTTTTCCTACACGTTTAGACTATTGTGTTGCTGACAAAACTTGCAGAAAAATAGTTCTTTAGATTAATAAAGATCTCTGGGTCTGCCCTAAACTTTACATTTAGCTTCAGGATTTTTTACTATTGGGGGGGGATATTCATGTGTCAGAGCCTTTTCCCTGACTAGGGTTGATTTCCCTAGAGATTTTGCCTTCACTGTTCTAACCGCTCCCCCTCATAAACACGTGATGAGTGTGAGTGACTGCAGTGGTCTAAATACCTCAGTGCCCGTGTCACATCTGTTTTATGACTAATTTGTGCAGAACTCCATATAAATCCAAAGGGTTCACATAATTTTTCTTGCAACTGTACTTAACTGGAAGGCAAAATATAGAGATACACATATTGTATGTCAGATTTCAGCTAAAATAATATCAAGAATTAAGTTTTAGTTCATGTCGACCAGCCCTAATTCAGGTGAATTACTAACAGCATTGTCTTTTTCAAATTGAGGGTCAAAACAAATTTTCTTTCTTTTTCAGAATCTGGTGAACAAAATGTGGATTGGTGTTGCGTCACAAGACAAGATGGAGATCCGCAGCTGTCTACCAAAACTCCTGCTTGCACAGCACAAATCTGTGCCCTATTTCATCCGCAATAAACTCTGTAAAGTCATCGTTGACATCGGCCGCCAAGACTGGCCCATGTTCTACCACGATTTCTTCACAAACACACTCCAGGTAAGTGTTATTGCAGGATTCAGTGACCAGTTATGTCAAATGCATCACACAAGCTGTCTGAGGTTTCTGCTTTACTAAGCATGTTTATGAGTGAGACGGCATTAGTGACTTAGTGATGCTGTCTGCACATGGGAGCAGAATCTTTAGTTTGAAAGCAAAATTATTCTTCGAAAGAATTTTTATACATTTGTTTTAATCAAATTCTTCAAAAAAGTTATTCAGTCATCCAAATCTATGAATGAAGCTATGACAAAGGCACTAGTAGAGGAAAATGTTCTGTCAGCGATACTCTTGTGAGTGAGTTAGCAAGGTGCACATGGGTCAGGATCAGGCATTTCCTGTAAAGGGGATGTATTGTGTGTTTGTTTGTTTGTTTATTCATTTAAAGTTAGAATAGATATAAGGTCGATTTTTTCATAAGGTAGATTTTAAAAAAATGAGAAGTTTACTGTGCAAAATTTCTCTTGCATAAAGCGATCTCAGCAGATTTATTTCTGACATTTTCAGTACCTTCCTGAATGAGCCGTTTCAGGGATCTTTAGCTTTACGGACAACAAACTGAAGCTGGCTGCACCTAGGGTTGCAGGGATTAACCGGTTTGACTATTAACCACGGTGTTAAACGCTGCGGTTAACCCACCATAAAGACTTCTCCAACACCGCAAATAAAATAATAAAATTAGCGTACGAAAGCAAAACTAAACGGACGTGTGCAGCAAGACCAGCGAAAACAACCACGGGACCACTCCATTTCCATTTATGAAGCGCTGTGAGGGAATATTTTAGATTCTCAATAGGACTGAAACGAATCATCGAATGGTTTGATTAATTTTTTACTGATTCAAAGCTTCATTCAATGTGCGCACCACAGTCAGAACACATTTTACTGGCGTACAATGTTGTAATCTAGGTGCTGTGGAGGAAAATAGAGGGACCAGCAAAGACAGAAATCATTGTAAAAGGCAGAAACGGTCCAAAGTTTGGGATAAAGAGTTAACCTACGGGTAGATTGGCTAATGCTAAGCTAGCGCATAGCATGCTCACGAATCATGATCATGTGGAGTTCAGAAAAAACAGTGATGGTTGTGAATGACGAAACTCCAGAAGCAGAAGAAAAACCCCACCATCCCGTTTATTTGTGGATCTCTGCAGCTGCAACAGTATGGAGCAGAACCACTGCAACTATCTGGAGTCTGCTGTTGTTACTACTGAGCGTTTAGCGACTCCATGAGTGATGAGTGGGGTGGGGGGTTGCACACGTTCCGCTGCTGTTTCTCACCAGTATCAGCTGATAGAGGGCTCTAGTTTCACTGCACCGTTGGTGTCAGCGGACACAGTAGGGTCGGGGAGGGGGGCGGGGCATGACGCTTAGCCCGACAGGTGGGCAAGCAAAGCCTGGTGGGTCGCCAGGCTTATTAACCCTGAAGTATATTTATAACAACTGCACTAGTAGGAATTTAGTATAATTCATTCAGGTGTTTCCATCCTTCAGTGCTAACCCTGACCAGTTACCAGTTAAACTGTTTTGTCTTTTTACAGAAACTCACAAAAGACTTTTAGGCAAATATAATTAAAGGTGTTGAACATTGAAAAACTATTTTTAAATAGGATTTCTGATTATAATTGGTTGTTTTGTGTTTTCATGCAGGCTGACCATGAAAATAGTCTCTTACACCTATCTCCTGCATTAGCTTCTGATAGAAAATAGGTGGTGACACTCTAGGACAGCGGTTCCTAAACTTATTTAGCCGCGCACCCCCTTCTATGTCCCAACCATGTCGACGCACCCCCCAGCCCCCACATCAGTGCATGGCTCTATATATATATATATATATATATATATATATATATATATATATATATATATATATACACACACACACAAATATGTATAGCCATTTATATACCGTAAATCCTCTAATATTGGCCTGTATTCAATTAACGGCGGGGTATCACATTTTGGCCGGAGTCGGCGGAGGTGAATAATGGCCGGGTTTTATTGTGGCCGGGTGGAATGTGGTAACAAGCAAGTACGGGGGGCAGTTGTGTCATCCATCTCACTTTTGATTTGCCAGTGATAGACCGCGAGGGTAACTTTAACCGTGCGGAGACGAAGAGGAGGCGAAAATTTGATATCAAGTTCAAAGAGAACGTGCTGATTATGCTGCAGAACACTCTGGGGAGCAGTAGCAGGGGTTGTGTGAACTAGTCACTAGTCGACTTCACCGCTCTATAGTGACTTTTTATGCCGATCATCGACTAGTCGCTGTCACGTGATAATGACCGGCAAGATGCAGTCCTCGGAAAAGACAGCAGCCTGCTGTCAGCAGGTGACGAGCTCCTGTGCATCGGGAGGCAACGCGCTGTGCCAGTGTCAGTACTGACACCCGCCGTAAAACGGACATTTAACCAAATTGTGACCTTTACAATTTGCAATTTAACCTTCCCCTCACCCCCATCCTAACCTTAACCAGCTTGCGCATGCAAAGCTCTGATTGTTGACGCGCTCCAGACATCTGCGTCCTGAGCACGGCCACAGTAACATTATCAAATCAGGTGTCGCCACCTCAAAAACTAATTTAACACGCGATCGTTCATGTCGGCTCATTTCCTTTTATGTTTTCTGTCTTTTATTTGCGCCTGATGCGTTTCGCTGCTGTGGATCGGGGCGCATCACCTTGTCCTCCGGTGACGCACCGATCACTGATGTGGCCGCCAAGCAGCGAGCACTCCGCTGTTTTTGCGGTCGGTAGATCTTTTAGAACTGCAGTTCAAAGGTAACTCATAAGGTGAATATATATGAAGGCAGGTAGCAGTTTTTCTTTAGGATTGAGAGGAGATGCAGGAAGATAATAAACAGGCAGGACAGAAAAATAGTCAAATAAAAACAAGTTAGTTTTTGTACCTGGTGGTTGCAACAAACAGACACCATTGAAGGTAATCAGAAGTGAGGAACAGAAAATGAAATAATTATTTTAATGTTTAGAGCAGCAGGAACTCTGAGAGGCTGCAGGCGCATCAGTGAGTTTGCGCCGCTGCGCAGGGGGAGGGGGGAGAGGGCTGAAGCAGAAACTACCGTTGTTAAAAGAAATGTGTTTAACTTTGAAAATGTGGGCGCAATTTTAATTGTCAAAAACTCCAGCGAACCATTAGTTCATTTTGCTCAAGTAGAAATTGAGGCCTGTCTCTAATTCTGGCCCTCCTTCCAATAAAGGCCTGGAGCTTGATGAGCTTGGGTAAAATACGGGGGGGGGGGGGGGGGGGGGGGGGGGGCACAGCTCCATGAGCCGCTCCAGTCACCGCGTCTCGTTATTGGCGCTATTTAAACCAATGTTGTAAAGTTACTTCTGCCCAGCCCAGATGTGCTCACATGTGCACCCGTGAGCCGTGGTTCCGCTGGAACGCGTCTGACCTCTGACAGACGCACTCTGAACTTCAGATCTTCAGCGCGCTGTTAATAGCCTGACACGTTTAGAATGCTGTCCCACAGTCAGTGTGCTAATATAATAATATAATAATGCTAAAATGCTCAGATGGGAATCATTTCTTGATTTATTTTGTTACATCCACAATGTTCTGTGTGTGAGGTTTACAATGTCAGAACACCTGCATGAGACAGGTGTTAATTACAATCTGCCAGGCTCACCACCTTCAGATTTCTCCAACATCGTTAAAAATGACACGGAACATATCGGCGTGCGCAGGCCACAGCGCTGAAGCTCGGCGCATTGTTATTATGAAGCTAGGGCACATGCAGAGCACACGCACACACCCACACACACATATGCAAAATATACTTGTTTTAAATTACATTTATTGGGCCCACTTACTTTTTCTTAGGCCCACCCACAAATGAGTTTCTGGCTACGCTAATGGTGACATATGACAGACTTCTCTGAGCTCCGCAGCCATTACACTTTTCACCTCGCGCACCCCCTAGCGGGTGCGTGCACCACACTTAGGGAATCCCTTCTCTAGGATTAGAAAAGCCTGACAGGTCTACGTCACACTATCACATATTCATGGACTCACCCATCTTGACTCATGACAGTAAATGCTGTTGTTGGTTTAGCGTCCAGGAATCGGCAGAGAACATCTCGGCTAGTAGAAGCTAACTATTAGTATTAGCAACTTCACCACACTGCAGAACTCCTCCAGGCTTGTGTTATTTTTCGAGATAAAACCTCAACGTTGCACAGCATACAGAGTCAGTGATAGTCATGTATCTGTTATCCTGTCAGAGGTGATGTCCAAAAATCAGGAAATAAGACTCCAAAACCTGCTGTCTGAAGCTCAGCCGGGATGTGGCTCACTTCCAAATCATGAAAATGGTGCACTAGTGTTTTTTTCTTTCCACAGTACGACTTACAAGGTATTCATTACTACCAAAGACCACTGCAAATGTATTGATTAAACAAGTGTTCAGCACTTTTAAATGTATTTTAAAAGTTTTAAAATGTAATTCAAAAAATGCAGACATCACTTTGATTTTACAAATGGGTTTTTCTAAGCAGAATCTCTGAAAAGGAGCAATAGATATATTCAGGGGTTCAAAACTAGACTTTAATCAAGCTCTTTGTTAATACTTAATAGGGTATGTGTTTTTGATTTAAATATGTTAATACAAATGATAATTTCACGAAAATAATCTTGGTAATTGTGAAACCGTGATTATTTCTTAGACTCTAACCCAACACCAAAATTTATAATCTCGTCCCCTGACAGGTTGAGCATTTATCACGTGAAAATGTGGAATTAACAATCACAGTCCTGCTTTCTTTATCAACAGCATCATAATTAAAGCACCGTATCACATCCTAATTATTTAAACCAGAAATCACTTATGCTGTCTAATACACACCCACATTCATTTATACGCTAATTTAAAATCACTAAGCGAAGGGACACACAACCTGAGCCTGTGATAGAAACACATTTAAAGTCTTTACTGTATAACTACCCTGTCAGAAGAAGTTTGTTGGAAAATCCTGCTGCGTATTGTCCGATAACCCCAGCCAATCAGCTGAAACAAGGCGGTCTGCCTCAAGTGGTTAACGCACAAAATATCTTCGCCTTTTGCTTTTGGGAGCTTCGATCTGCGTTGCGTCTTCATTCATTGACCTACCGTCTTCCTCTTAAGCCACCGGTCATGGGAGTTGGAGTCTGAGCACCCCCCCCCCCAATAAACGGTCCCTCCAACTCTGAACAAAAATGTCAAATCCTCTACACTATGAGTGGGTGATAACTCAACAGGTAAAGGGGGATCTATGCCACCTTTCCCTACTGTGACATCACAATAAGGGCACTTTTGAAACATATCGTTTAAGGCTCATAATCTCAAAGCCAAACACAAGCCACGTTTACATGTGCACAATTGATCGGATTGAACGCCCAATCAGATAAAAAATTCTGCATGTAAACATGTCAGTCGGAATATTCTGATCCGATTTGGCCCGATCGGAATGAAATCTCTATCCTATGAGAGAGGCGGTTTTGTCCGATCATCATTTCTATTGACGTGCAAGTTCACAGCCATTCGAATTGTTGGAGAAAAATAATGCCCACTGCGCATGTGTGCAACAGCTAGCGAGCCTCCCCGCCGTCATTTAGACTACCTGACAAATAAATGACAGCCTAATTAACGAGTGCCAGCTTTTAATTATGATGGCAAGCCGTCCCCGTTTCATTAATATCTAATCCAGAATTTTACATTTTGTGGAATTAAAATGAAAATCTGATTATTGCACAAATCATTCGTCAGACATGTTCAAGTCTGTACTGGATATACGCAGATTCATTTTGGGGTTTGCAGCATGGATCCCTGTTTCTGTAAAAGTAGCAGCTGTTTCTGCAGCAGGTGGATGGAGACATGCTCGTAAAGAAGACGGGGTAACATCGGTTTATCAGACCTGGTTTGAGTTTGAGATGGATTTTGAGTAGAAAAACATGCTCAGTTAAATATTCTGTGTAAAAGCACGTTAACACAGATGAGATGCGTTTATTAACACGTGATGAACACAGGCTTCCAAACTTTCTGAAAATCTCCTATTATTTAGTTTGAACCAAATTTTGTCACCAGTTTCAGCTGATTGTCACATTTTATTAATAATAAACCACAACAGAGCTCAGTAATAAAACACGAGTCTGAAGCGCTGCGCACAGACGTCCCGTCAGACCCGTGGACCAGCTGATCAAGAGGCAAAGACGAGGATAACCCTCCCTTATTTTAATAGTGTTAATAATAAAATGCAGCAAAGCATAAACCTGCTGTTATTCACTGACGAAAACGTAACTTCCGCGAGCAAAATAAAAACATTAAATTGATTAAATGAATCAGGAAAGCAGGAAGAATAGTTATTTCTGCTTTTACATTTTTCATTTCGTTTCATGACGTTTTTTTTTTTCAGGAAAGAAAACTGCGCATGCTCAACCTATGTAATCTGATTGAATCCTTGTTGCATAGAAACTCATGGCATGATTGGATCATTTCAGTCAGTGTGCAGATGAACAGAGATTTGAGAGTTCCGATCAAGATTTGAATCGGATTGGGGAAATTTGGCGCATGTAAACGGGGCTACTGTGACAGGAGTCACAGTGTTCAGAGTTTCTAGTGGAGTCAGATTTACATAATGTGTTCCATTTAAAATTCATTCATGCTTAATATGAATCATTCATGCATAATGTTTTTTTAATGAGGTTTTCTTGTAATTTATGTCACAAAGTATTTGTTGTTGTCTGGACTTTGTGTCATTTATGTTGCAAACTTCAGCAAAGTTGACACATAAGTTAAATGTGATTGAATTGCTTTTACTTTCTGATTTATTCACTTTATTTAACTTTGTACTGTTCCATGTTCAGCGCCTTGGGCTTCCTGACAGGGTTGTGGAAGGTGCTTTATAAATAAAGCTTTGATTGATTGATTCATTCATTCATTTATTTATGTATTTTATTTGTTTATTTATTTATGTTGCTACTTTGCTAAATTCCAGGGATGCTAACTTGAGACCTCACTTAAAGGTTCCACAAAGGGTCTGCAGTGTTCTAATGTCAGATCTGTAGCCATCACCTAAACTGTAGCCTTTGGTTCTGAACTACAGCTGATCCAGACCCCCACCCTGGCTCCACTGGGTTTGGTCATGTTAAAAACCACATCCGAAGAGCTCGCGTGTCCTCGAGAAGACCTCAGTGTCGCCAGGAAAGATGAGCTGCGTAAACTACTGCTGGAGCAGGTACCGACGGTGCTTGGACTGCTGACAGGTAAGGAGTACTTCTAAGACATATCTCCAGATGTGAACAGATGTTTTTGTTTCAAATTATTGGTTTAAATGTCTTGATTATAGGTTAGTCTTGGGTGTTTTTCCTCTTGTAGGTATTTTAGAGACATACTGGGACAAGCACAGCGTCATAGCTTCCACCCCTCCTCCATCACCCACCTCACGTGAGAGTGGTAAGCAGAACTGTCACTTGTTTGGCCCTTTAAACTATGCAGACTTCAAAATAAGAGGCCACTTTCATGGTAAAGTTTAAAAACCAGGTTTGTGTGTTTTTCTCCCATCAGTGGAATTGCTGGGCAGCTTGTTCCAGGGCAGCCAATACTCGAAGCTGCTTTGCCAGCCCATGGCGGTGCTGGACAGCGAGAGTCATCAGCTCTGTTGTCTTGTATTGGAGTGTTTGGCCCACCTGTTCAGCTGGATCCCTCTGTCCACAAGCATCACACCCACCCTGCTGGCATCCATTTTCCATTTTGCACGCTTAGGTTGTGATCTGAGGTCAAAAGCCAAAACTGGACCTTTGAACTCCTCCTCTTCTAACGGACAGCTCAATCCTGGAACTGTGCCAACAGCAAATGGACAGGGACAAAACGGACAGCAGTGCGAGGTCAATAAGGTGGACCGCGCCCGGCTCGGTGTCCTCGCGATGACCTGTGTCAATGAACTGGTGTCAAAGAACTGCGTGCCAATGGACTTTGAGGAGTATTTGCTGCGGATGTTCCAGCAGACCTTTTTTCTTTTGCAAAGGCTGACGCGGGAAAACAACGCTCACACAGTGAAGAGCCGCCTACAGGACCTGGACGAGAGGTACGGCTCACTCCGCAGACTGACTGGCAGGTTTATGTGCACATCAAAGCGTTTTAAGGTTACACGCTTGCTTTTACTGGTTCACCTTGTTGTTTTTAGCTTAGTAACTCTCAAACCTAATGAACAAATGAACATGACATTTCCTTGTATTCCATATTTCAAAACACTTTTTGTTTTCATAACTAAAGCCCATTTGTGGAGCATCTCCCATCCTTTTCTTTCGCTCTATAAGTAAATATCATTTTTATCAACTTTCTTCCTGGTCCACTGGACTTCGTTGGTTTCTTGAAGACGTTTTGCTTCTCATCCAAGAAGCTTTGTCAATTCTGACTGACATAAGGGAGAGTCAAGCTTACAAAATGTAGCTTTCTGTCGTTGCTCAATGAGCTGAAAACTACCTATGAAAAACCCTCCTCCATTCCCCGGAGGAGTCATTGATGTCAATAGGTCCTATTGTGTTAGAATCTTTGTTTCTAAGCTTGACCCTCCCATATTCCAGTCAAAATTGACAAAGCGCCTCGGATGAGAAGTGAAACCTCACCAAGAAACCAAAGAAGTCCCGTTGCCTTCATTTGAACCCTTTTTGAATTACCGACTTTATTAAGAAACATAAATGAACTCTTAAGATGTAAATGACACGTTGTTTGTTGATACTGATCCCATACCCGTAGTTCAGCTGGAAATAGTTGTTACTTATGGCGTTCTGCAGGGTTGGTGGCGCGGCTGCTTGAGTTTTACTCTGTCACTGTTTATATTTTAACCCACAGATTTTAGGAACTTGTTTGCTGAACTTTTTGTACCGAACAAAGAAAGAACAGTGCATCAAAAATAATGCCTGGACAAAATTTAATGTCTTAATTTTTTTAATAAAACACATCTTAGAAGAGAGAAAAATCCAGATAATTCCAGCAGATTGGAAATGGCGTTCCCAAATCAATTAGCCCAGGGAAACTGCAGCATGTGGTCAAGCTAACGGGTCAGTTTGGGTTTATTTTAGGAAAATTAAAATGGCCATGACCAGTTTGGACTATGAAATAAATCCTGACGACGAGGAACAAGTTCAGCATTGATGATTTCTCTCTCACTTTGCAGTTACTTGGAAAAGTTTACAGATTTTCTGCGCCTGTTTGTCAGCGTTCACCTGAGAAGGATCGAGTCGAGCCCCCAGTTTCCCATCGTGGAGCTTCTCGCGTTGCTTTTCAAATACACCTTCAACCAGGTAAGTTTAATCTTGATGCTAATTCATCTAATAAATTGTTAAATGCTGAGAGTTTCATGCAAACCTCCTTCTTGCCTAATTTTCAGCCTACTCATGAGGGATACTTTGCTTGCTTGGATATCTGGAGTGTGTTTCTGGATTTTCTAACAAACAAAATCAAAAGTAGGCTTCCAGACAGAGAAAGTGTTCTGAACAGGTACGTTTACTAAGGCTGGTTTTCAGAATCGGAACAGTCACACAACCCAAATGGTGAATGTGTAGAAATCATAGCTGTTGTGTTTTTGTTGTTGTTGTTTTGTGTGAAATGACCATTCGTGGTTGAACAGGTACAAAGATGCCTTGGTTCTTCTTTTGAGAGAAGTTCTGAATCGCATTCAGTTCAGATACAACCAAGCCCAGTTGGAGGAGCTGGATGATGAGACTCTGGATGATGATGTAAGAACCATTTACCTAAAATAATTAAAAAAATTATAATTTCTTCATTGTATCTTAAAGATAATTCACCATATTACAACACTTAGTTTAAAACAGTGTTTACAGTTATTTTAGATAACTATTTTATAACTGATGGATTCAAAAGAGGCGCACCCATCACTTCAAAGCATGAATATTATCCTTCTTTTGGTAACTAGCAACAGACTGAGTGGCAAAGGTACCTACGTCAGAGTCTGGAGGTGGTTGCCAAGGTGATGGAGCTGCTCCCATCCCATGCATTCTCTACTCTGGTAAGATACTAATTCATTCCATAAGCTTATTGATAAGCTTCAGTAAAAATGTAAAGATTACTTATAGTTCTTGAACCTTTTATTTTGAAAAATGGTTCATTTTGCTTAATGCATTTTAACCATCAAAGTGTAAAAAAAATTTAATTAACTTTGTTTATTTTATCTTGGTATGAAAACATCCTCCAGCTTTATCATTAGTAAAGACTAAAACCAGCTTCAGATGGTGTGAAACTAAATTTGTACATTCTTACGTTTTTTATGTTGATTTGGTTTCATTAAAGACACTTTTGGGCCTTTTTGATGTTTGTTTTCTCGTTAAAGTTATTGTTTTTTGTTTATAGCTGCCTGACCAGCCTCGTTTTTGAGAGTTTTTTTGTCGTAGCTGATGTAACGACTAGTCTAAACACATCCAAGACTAAAGTGGATTTCTCATCGTAACTTTCAAAACACGGAACATCTGTCAACTCCGAATTGGTTCCTGTTTGAACCCACTTCCTCTAAGATCACACTCGTCTTCAGACACATGTTGCTCCACAGCTTTGAAGTTTTAGGACAGTTTTGTTTCTTTCTTCTTTTAATTCCTCGCGGTCCTCATCATGTGTTTTTTATCTGCTGAGTTTGATGCGTCTCTACCCAAATGAGATGAGAGCATCTAAAAAAAACAAATCTTTCTATTGATTTTGATCATTTAAAGGTTTTTGGTTCTCATTTGTGTTCTCGTCTCCTTTGTTTCAAGTTTCCAGTGCTCCAAGAAAACTTGGACGTTTATTTGGGTTTGCGTCAGTTTGTAGTCACCACCAGTTCAAGTAAGTCCATGCAAAGAGATGCTCATGAATCAATTCTATACGTCTGATTTGAGTGTTTCGTGATATTTTTTTTGGTTTTGTGTTGTAGGTCGGAGACTCAACATCACAGCGGAGAACGACTGTCGTCGCCTTCACTGTTCTCTCAGGGATCTCAGCTCGTTGCTTCAAGCTGTCGGGCGCTTGGCTGAACATTTCATAGGAGAGGTTTTTGCTGCACGTTTCAGCGATGCTCTGGCCGTGGTGGAGAGGTCAGTGGTCTGATTACACCTCAACACTTCTGTGTGTTTAAAATTAGGGATGCTTCAATCTGATCCCGTCATTTTGGTAGGATCTGGAATCAGACAGGTGGAGATTCAGACACAATAACATGTAGCTGTTAGCTCTCAGGCTAATGCAAAGCTAACATTTTGCCTCAGGACAGCAAAAATGTCTGCAGTGTGGACGGTTTTTTAAACTGCAACAGACACTTGTAATAAATCTGCTATTTAACCTGATCGAAAAGGTAGAGCTACGTTCAACTCTACAAATCTAATTTGCCGAAACAAACTTTTCTCTTTCAGTTTTTCTCAACTCAATCTTTATTTCTAAAGCACCTTTCAGGCACAGGGGTGACAACAAAGCGCTGTACTGACATATATCAGTGATTAATGAGACGAGGATTAAACAGAATAAAAACGGTAAAAACGACATACAAATCACAATTAAAAAGAAACACAATGCTACAACCCCCTCAAGTCCAGGAGGGTATGGGGTTGAAACATAACACAAAGCAACTCAGTTAAGGTCATTTAAACTGTTTTTATTTTTAATCTCTTCCGGCGGGTCTCCTGCGTACGCACCCGGTGAGGGAACAACCAAAAATCTGCCTGAAACTCAGGGGAAGGGTCAAACAGTTAGTAAACAATAAACAGTCTTTTAATGAACAGAAATCAACAGGCAGGAGCTTAAGGTAACTAAAACGGCTAAACCAAAGGGGAGAAGGAAGCACGACCTCAAAACACTGTGTCCTTTTAAAATCCACGAGAGAGAGAACTTTCCTTAAAACCAACCACGGTCAGAACACCACATGGTTTTTTTAAATATATATCAAATGAGCGAGAGATACGACACTGGGAGTTATTTAGCTCAGTCCACCAGCACACAGCCGGGGCTTAAAACCAGTCAGCAGTATCACACATAAAAAACCCATAATCCCTAACACATTCCATTAGAACCCAGGAAAGCAAATACTCATCATCATGAAACTTTTCTCTGGGGGTGTCGTTGCCACACACAGGAAACAGGGGGCTTCCCGTTCAGCTCAGGGATGAGCGTTGGAGTCCCGTCAGGGTTCAGGTCAACTTGTAACTCCACCCATATCCAGTTAATCCGATCCGTCTCCCAGAAGGTACTCTCCTTCCTCAGTTCTCGTCTCCTCTCAGTTTACCAGTCCAGCCTCCACATCTGCTTTTGTTGGCATCCTCATTAAGCCTTATTCATGCTTCTCCGTCAGCTCTGCAAGGGATAGACACGCACGGATTGACGGAAGCGTTTTGCTCTCATTCTTCTCCGTCTCCTGGAGAGTGTTGCAAAGCAATTCCCCGGCAGGACCACAGAGGGCGTAACGCTGTTCTGTGGTATCCTGTCATGTATCGGTCCAAGATAGTGTGTTTATATTGTGTTTTTTTGTGTATATAAGAGACTTTTAACACAGACAAATTTGTCTCTCATTCTCCTCCACCTCTTCATGCACTCGCCACCTCTAAACCCACGTTTCCTGTCATTTCCGTCCACAAATAAAACGCTTGCTGCGCATCGTTTCACTCCTCCAGTCACGGGGGAATTAAACATTCATGTTTTTAGAGTTTTTTCGCGAGGTATTCTTCAAGCTGCTCCGTGTCTACCGCTTGTTATCCTCGGCTCTCTTTATGTTTTTGAGGGCGCGATGGCGGCGCTGTAGACAACAGCAGCGTCCTGACCAATCACAAGCTTGCGTTGTCCGTCTCGACTGACGGATGTTTAGAAAAGAGAGCTTGACTCCGTCCGTTCTTGCGTAGCTCTCCGGCAGGCCCGCAAGGACGTTGCGTGTCTCCGCACTGACGCAGACGGAGAAGCATGAATCAGGCTTTCGGGTAACTACGCACAGCCGTGGTCCGTCAGAGCTCTAGTACGGTGCTGTCCATGGTCCTGAACAAACGTCTCCCGGAACCAGAGCTGTAACCACACGGCGGGGCCTTCCAGGCCTCCGGGCATAACTGGTGGATGTAACACGCAAGCAGACTAACGGCCTTGTGTAAAGGCCAGATCAAATAAAAAAGTCTTTAGCTTGATCGTAAAAACTGTCGCTGATGGTGAAGCATGCACATCAGCGATGCCTCTGGAAAGCACACAGCATCATCAAGGACCACAGCCACCCAGCGCATCAGCTGTTCTCCCCGTTACCATCTGGCAGGCGTTACAGGAGTCTGCCTGCTCGGACTACGAGACTTAAAAACAGTTTCTACCACCAAGCCATATGACACCTCAACCATTACACTTAAACACACACTTAAACACACACTTAAACACACACAACACAGGATACAGATGTTACCCTGCAGCTCCACAAGTAAAATTTAATCTGCACTGGTTACTTCATTTTAATGTTACTACTCACTTTTTTTTTTTAGATATATTTATATTTAGTCATCTATACTTACTTATCTATTTAGTAAGCTTTTACTTTTAGCATGACTCTCTAATATTTTGCTTTTACTGTATTATACCTTCTTTTTTTTCTATTGTATTATGCTGCTGAGAGACCGCTGCTCGTCAAACACATTTCATTGCAATGTCGACCCTGTGCTAACTTGCATATGACAAATAAAACTAAACTAAACTAACTCATTCCAGAGTTTGGGGCTCGCCACAGAGAAAGCCCCGTCTCCTCTCGTCTTTAAACGAGACCTAGCGACTGTGAGTAGCAGATTGTTGTCAGAGCGACAGGTAATGCTAGAACAAATCATCTGTCTCCATGTAGTTCTAGTCCGACACGGAGCTCAATACTCCGAGTTGACAGCAGCAACTCAGGCTAAACCCACAGTCAGCCGAGACTGAATGATAGTTAAAAACAAAGAGAAATGCCTACAGACGGTAAAGAAAGTCACAACCAAGATAGAAGTATTTATCACACTGGATCACTGTGGTTGCAAGAAGGAAGTAAAACAAGTATTTGTTCTCCCAGGCTGGTTGAAGTGACTTGCTATGGCTCTCAGACCAGCCTGTATGACCTGGAGACGGCTGTGCCTTCTGTGCTGAAGCCTGACCTCATCGACGTGTGAGTATCCCATGTCCAAACAAAAATTAAATCCTAAAGGTTTATTTGACAAAAAGCTGTTTGGTTACGAAACTCTGTGTGTAGAGGAAGGAAAGAGTGGAAACAAAGGAAAATGTAACCGTAAGAACCAGTGTCAGGTGGTGAATAGTTTTGTGTTTGTTACAGACACGCTCAGGCCCTCGCTGCTTTACAAGCCTACTCTCACTGGCTCGCACAGTTCTACAGCGAAACCCTCAGCCACAACCAGAGCCAGTTCATTAACCTCATCACTTCTGCAGTGGATGCTTGCAGTCCGCTCATCACAACCAAGGTAGACTGTTTCATTCTGTACCTGCATGCTGGTGACAGTCATGGCGGTGCAGTTCAACATAAGCTCACCAAGGAAATGTTTCAGATTCCCTAAACTTTTAGATTAGGGATCTAAACTGGTCTGATTTTACATTATACAGTATAAACCGGTTACTTAAATATTAATTATTGTTAAAACATTTCACTTGTGCATTAACAAAAGGATGCAGGTTTTACAGTTCACATCTGAACAGCTGAAGCCATCTTCTCACTGAGCTGCAAAGGTTAAACACAAATTATAAACTGCGTTTGCAAAATGTCTGGAAATGTTTGTGAGGGCTGTTTGTTTCCTCATGTGAGCGACTGCAATATAAAGTCGTACTTTCCAACTTTTTCATAATTTTAAATAATTTTTCTCTGCCAGTCTGTGCTAAAATGACCCTTTACAGGGTTAACGAAGACCTCACTGCATCTTGAGGCCAGAATACTGCACTTGCAACTTCAGACTGGCAGGCCGCCTCTTGTTAGACTTGCCTGTTGCTGCAGTCTGCTTCCGGCACATTTACTACACGTTTTAGATCATGAACACAGCTCATCTGTTTAATTTAGTGATGAATCACTTCTGTAGAAACCAGCTGTTAGATTAAGGTGTTAAAAAGTCTGACGCACAGCGAGAATATGGGTTTCATTTTGGTTTGACCACAGAGAATTAATAACCGACACTAAAGGGTGCTAAAAGCAAGCAAAAATGTCAAGTTCTCTCTGTATTCTGAGACCTCCTTCAGTTTGGCTTTTGTGAATCAAAGTGGGAGAAACGTGTGATAACTTCAGACCCAACAGCAGATACAGTTTGGATCATTTATGAACAGACTGAGGCACAATAAAGAAAACTTTTTGATGGGAAACATTTTATAGATGTAACATTTGGTTTGCCCTTTATGACCCTGACACATGTAAACCCTCCCATTGAAGTGTTGTATTGATTTACCGTGACTCCAAAAGAAAATGTGCATGTTTTCTTGCACATCACTAGTCGTGTTTCCACTACAGGAGTTCCAGGAAATGTCTGAGAGGGGAAGTGACCGGGAGATGCGGTGGCCATGTCCTCTCAGCCGCCGCCTCCTTGCAAAGACGTCAGCTTATAGCAGCCATAGACATAAAATCATAGACGCAAAGAATTCTATATGTCTACGATTGTGTCTGCTTCGTGATGACACTGATCAGCACCAAAAGGCGTCCACATTAAAATTTGTATTCAGAGCAGGTCTCTGGTCATTTGTCAACTGGATATATTCCACATTTGATTGGAAACTTTGTTGTTGGCATTCGTTTGGGTGTAAAAGTTTAAACAAAAAGTTTCAGGGAATTACACAAAACATCTAGATTCAGAGTTTCGAGTCTTTTGGCAACTTTGACTCTTTACTCAGCTGAATCTTAGTCAGAATCAGTTTTATGGGTCTGTCACCTAAAGACATCACTGTTATAAAACTAAAATGTCATTAGCTGGTGGTGAACATTTAAACACACCATTGCTTAGCAGGAAAAGGAAACAAGAAGAGAAATGAGGAAACCAAAGACATTCGGCTGGCTAAATGATGTGCAGGAAGAGCAAACATCAGCAGCTCATTAGTCCTTAAATCAATTATCTATGTCTCGTGTTCCTCCCGAATGAAAAGATGTGATTATAATTCTCAGGAATTATTATGATGATTTGGGCTTTTTTTATCCTGTGTTAAATATGAGACCTGATCGGATGACGGGTGATAGTTTTGTGTTGCAACGACGATGTAAGGAGGAGGTTTCAAGTTGAAACTGTTCACTAGTTTTTCAAACCTGCGACTTGTGTTGGCAGATGTTTGTTTGTTTTGGTTCTTTTCTTCACTTCCTGGTTGGACATGTGTTGGTTAATGTGCTGAAGTGAAGTTATACAGTTTAAGGTGAATTAGCTGTAATGATGCTACTGTGTGTGACACACACACACACACACAAGGTTAATTTGAACCACAGAACCCTTTTCCAGTTCCCTCTGCATTTGTTCTTTTAAAATGCCAGAACCAGAGCGTGGGACCGCGTCATCCTCTGTCGTAGCTCTGAGATGACCTACAACTGAGGCTGAAGCTCATAAATGGTGCTAATGCTAAATCAAATGAAGATTATTTAGCTGGGGCTGCTCTCTGACCAACAGCAGCTCCAACACAGGTCTGCTGCCTCTTGCCCAAACTTAAACCACAACCTTCATCTCCTTCAGAAGCACGGTGAGATGTTTGAGTCCTCGGTGCTGTTGGTTGAGTGGCTTCTCATAGGAATATTAACAAGATGCTGAATCCTTTATTTTTTATTGTCTGACATTTAACTTGTGTTTTTATGTGCAGGTACCAGAAAAGTTGCTCCTCTCCTCGTGCCATCTGATGGTTTCCATAACATCCACGGTGCGGCCGGTGTTCTTGGTCACTTTGCCAGCTGTCCAGAACATCTTCAACCTGATTACAACAGAAAATCACCGGAGCAGACTTCCCCAAGAGGTAGACTGATGCTTTTATCTGTTTTATTTTCGGGGGTTTTTTGTTTGTTTTTATTTATGTGACCATGTATTTTTAAATATTTCTTGTCACACAGGCGCACATACTTGTATGTAGAGCTTTATCCAACATGCTGCTGCTCCCATGGCCAAACCTGCCGGAGACTGAGCAGCAGTGGCAGACCCGCTCCAACAGCCACACCAGCCTTCTCTCTGCTCTCACAAGGGAATACCGCATCTTAAGAGCAACTGCGGATATATCGCCGCGGCAACCTGTTCTGGATAACGGTTAGTTGTCCTTTTATGTGTTTGTTTGTTTTACGCCAACTTTGTTTAATTCTTCTTTATGCTGTCTTTTGTTCGTGCTGCAGTGAAAGCGGTGATACAGCAGACCCTGCCTGTGCTCAGAGATCTGGTTGACGGCATCTCTAGTGAATCCACCAAATCACGACAGATCTGCTACCAAAGTCTTCAGGAGTCTGTCCAAGTGTCGCTCAACCTGTTCCCAGTTTTTATTCAGCAGTCAGGTCAGCTGATGGTTGAGTCTGTCGCTCCAGCTTGAGTCTAAATTAGGGACTTGAATGCAAAACTAATCTTCACTTCTCGTCCTCAGATGTGACAGATGAGATGTTAGCCTTCTTCCTGACGTTGTTCCAAGCACTGAGAGTCCAGATGGGTGTCGCCTTCACAGCACAGATCATCCACACTTTCCTCAGCATGTTCACAAGGTAAGAGAGGACTCTGATTTATTCTATGTATTTATTTATTATTATAACAATACTGGGGCATAATCTTCCATCTGATATGCCGAGTCATGCTCTCTTATTTTGCTTCAGGGAACAGCTTGCAGCCAGTATTTTAGAAGAAGGCAGCGCCGGCTGCAGAGTGGTGCAGAAGTTTCTGAAGATCCTGCAGGTTGTGGTGCAAGAACCGGGTCAAGCTTTCAAACCCTTCCTACCCAGCATCCTGTCTCTGTGCATGGAGCAGGTTTACCCAGTAGTGGCAGAGGTGGGTTGGTGCCGTTGTCCTTTATCATCCTGTCACCTGGGTGTGATCAGCATGTGTGAATCTGCAACATCACACAACCTTCCTGTGTTCTGGCTTCATAAGGTTACATGTAATCACTTCAGTTGTGTTTTCGTAGGAGAAGTCATTTAGTAAAATTATACAGAGGAAACTCTCCAAGCATGTTTTTTCTTAATAAATACATCTGAAAGCAATTCTTACCTCTAGGTTTCCTTTTTGCATTATTAGACTAATAGCATTTAATGTTTACATGATATGATGTAATTTCCTGTCATGTTTACAGAATTTACTGTATATTGTGAATATTGTGCTGAAGCTTCATTTGAAGATAATTGTGAATAATATTTAAATTGCAGTTTTTACAAGAAATGTCAGCTAGAGGGCTGCACACCACCAGAAAACCCAACTCCACCTCAGTCAAGATTTGAAAAATGCTGTGAAAGTGGGCTTTGCTAGGAGTCAGAGAGTAACATGGCCAAGTGTGGGGAGTTTCCATCCTGTGAGGGAGGGGAGTGGGAGGAGACTGTACCGATGACGTGAAATTGTTCTCGCCCCGGTCAATCACAAGTTTAAAATGCAGTAGCCGCTTTTCAACCCACAAGGGGCAGCACTTAGGCGTTTTTAGACGTAGATTCTAGATTAATCAAGTTTACACAAACATGACAAAAAACATGGAACAGAAAGATTGCATTTGTTAAGACCCAGTTATACAGTTTATAAGCAAAAAAAGTAATTTGGGGGTTTACATACTCTTTAAATCTAATTCTAAAGTCCTAGACTGCACTCCCTCACCAGTAGGTGTCACTGTGGAGCAAAAACCACCACGCAGAAGCTGAAACAAGCATTTCCTATAGTTGAAAAGACCTTGTTGGTTTTTTTGTGTGTGTTTTATGTAAATGAGAAACATCTACTCAATACAATTCATTAAAATGTTTAATTAGTTAATGAGTATGAACTTATTAATAGTTTGTTCCTGTTGTTTTGCCTCACAGCGGTCGTCTCCAGATGTCAAATCAGAAATGTTTGAGTTGTTATACCAAATACTTCACCAAAACTGGAGGTACTTCTTCAAAACCTCAGTGTTAACAAGCGTCCAAAGAGGAGCTGCTGAAGACACCATGGAGAACGAGGCCCAGTTCACAGCTGCCATGCAGGTACCGCGCTTTGGTTTTGGCTTTCAGGTCAATAATTAACGTTTAAAAGTAAAAGAGTGAACAAAATACACTAAGTCTATTGTACATGTTTTACAAGTAACCAATCAGGCCTTTTGCTTTTGCAGCTGCTTTGTTTTCTGACTTGTTCTGTTTTCAGGCTTTTGGACAGTCGTTCCTGCAGCCTGACCTCAACATCTTCAAGCAGAATCTGTCATATTTGGAGTCTCTAAACAGCAAGCACAAGTTGTATTCAAGAGTAAGTTCACTTGGGGCTAAATGGACAGACCAGTATCGTCTAGATGTGGTCAATGAAGTTCAAGAGTTTAGTGGGTTCAACAAAGTTTGACAAGTTCCTTTATAAAACGCTTTGATGTCAGATAATAATCAACATAATGGACATTTCTTAATGTCTGAAATAGACGCAATAACATCATGCCTGTCTGATTAGTCCTAATTTGTTTATTTGCACTTGAAGTGGTCACGGCCTTTTGCATGATGCTGCAAAAACCCTGATGTGGGTTTTAATGCTGAGTCACACATAGCAGAATAAAGAAAAAATAGTAAAAGCTAGAAAGATTTTCTACATCATGGTCAAAATCTGAACGATTCCTGATACTAATGCAAACTTTTCCAAAGTTTTAAGCCCATTTACTAAACATTTCTGTTGTCTTTGTTCATCAGAAGCTTTTCAGGACCTCCATGCTGTTCCACTTCATCAACGTGCTGCTGCAGGTCCTTCTGCACAAAAGCCACGATCTCCTTCAGGAGGAAATCACCCTCGCCATTTACAACATGGCCTCTGTCGACTTCGATGCTTTTTACTCGGTTTTCATGCCAGAGTTCCTAAATAACTGCCACGGTGTGGACACCAATCAGAGAGCTGTTCTCGCTCGCAACTTCAAGCTTGAACAGGTAAGAACTGATGTTTGAGCTCCTAACAGCGGGATTTCATTCAGACCCTCGTGAACCGATGTGGATTGTAGTTTTGTGAAGTGAAACTACATTCATAATGTTGGGATTAGCGGTCAGCCGCTATTAGTTTTTCTATTGCCGATATCGATGCCAATATGTAGGAGATATGGTCCTGCCGGTTTTTATGGACTGATATTCATGGCCAATATTTAGACATTCCCCACCTTATTTCTACGCTTAAATGTCACTAATAACATCAATTGCACAAAATTTCTAAAGCTGAATCAGTTTTTGAACTTTACTAACTGTTGAATCTGAACTTTGTCCACTGCTCAGTGTTAAAGTCAGACACCTAAATAAAGTTAATTTAGGATGTTCATTATGCAGATGTTATTAGTGAAAGTAAAACTACATTAACTTTAAATTCTGCAACAGCATCGGGCTGCCCGACGATGCACCTGACTTTAAACCGGCTTTAGTGAGGACAAATATCGACTCGATTTATCAGTCTAAAATATATTGTTGTGATTAAATGAAGTTGTTTTCTCGCATTTGTCTAAAAATGTCAGCCAATTTCATTTTCATTTCACTTTATTTGTAAAGGCCCTTCCGCAACCTTATCGGAAGCCCAAGGTGCTAAACAATACAAGAAGCAATAAGAAACACATGTAAAAACATTATAAAACAACCATAAAAAGCATTCAACACAATAAAAAGGCCACATTACGTGCTGGACAATGAAGCCACACTACGACATCTGCTGTTGGAAAGCCATAACTTTGACACGCATCTTCAGACGGGACTTAACAATCAGTAAAGAGGGTGACTGGTGCACGGTTAAAGGCAGTTCATTCCACAGCCTCGGAGCCAACACTGAGAATGCGGGATCCCCCGTGACCTACACAGGGAACACGGAACCACCAACAATTCCCTATCAGCTGAACGGAGGGCTCTTGATGGAGCATGCCTGTTCAAAAGTCTCTCCAGGTACAGAGGAGCAGTCCCCTGAAGAGCTTTAAACACCAAAGTTAACACTTTGAATTTCACCCTGAAGTGCACAGGGAGCCAGTCCAGAGAATCCAGTACTGGAGTAATGTGCTCCCTGCGCGTGGTGCCTGTCAGGAACCTAGCGGCAGAGTTTTGGACTAACTAACCGGGCCACCGCACCCTGACTTAGGCCGGCACATAGAGCATTACTGTAGTCCTTTCTAGAGAGGACCAAGGCATGAATGACAGACTCCAGATGAGCTCTCGATCGTAGAGGCTTAATTCTAGCCAAATGGCGTAGATTAAAAAAGCACGACCGCACAACATAGTTCATGTGTGTCAAACCAATAACATGGCTCGGTCTGAAAACCAAAGATTGGACCATCTGGTTGTCTGTCTCACCGATTCGCTGCACTTCCCCGGGTCCTCCATACAGTACTACCGCTCGCTCATGTACCAACAGAACACCACTGGTGTGAGAGGTTCTCCACTCGGTAATATCAAGGATAAACAACCGGTTGCTGGAACTTCAGGACAAACTGCCCAAGCCCCAAAAAGAGAAGCACCATTTGAAGTCACGGACAACAAAAGATGTTTGGACCTAGAAAAGGGTGACTGGTGTTTAGCGCTATCTCCTTTATTCTGGCAACGCGGTGGCTGTATCGGGGGGCGTGGCCTAGGGATGATGGCTGACCTGAGGAGTGAGAGTTCTGGAACCATGTTTGTATTTAAATGCTTGTTCTGCAGATATGCCATTGCAGCTTTAAATGAGACGGCATTAACATACTGCCTTTGTGAGCATCTGGGGAACAAGACGTTGAAAGCTACAACAGAGCAAGATTATTACTATGTTCATTAGCAACTAGCAAAATATTGACTTCTTTCAAGCTTTATTTCATTGGTGACAGAAATAGGATGCAGCTTTCTATTAATAAATATGTATTAATGAATTGATTAGTTGTATTGTCTATGATTAAGTAGAATTCACTGGCAGCACAGTAAATGATTGGTTATTTAAACTCCTAGCATCTGTTTTTACTTGATTAGTGGGACTAAATGTGTTGGAGGTCTGTCATCACTTCTGTTGCATCAAGTCCGAGAAATGAATGCATTTCCTTTCCTTGTCTCTAGGACTTGCCTTCCTTCACTCAAAGCGTACAGAGATTAGTGAATGATCTTCGCTACTACAGACTGTGTAATAGTAGCTTGCCCACCGGCACCATCAAGCTATAGCAGCATGACAGCTGGAAGCGCTCCCCGTGTCCGAGGAGATCTTTAGAGACTGCCTGTGCTGACCAACGCTCCTCCACTTCAGCTTTACTCCACTCGGAGCTACACATGGTTTGAGAGATTGGAGAGTGAGCATGCTGCTGCTGCTGATGTTTTTATTTTTGTTTCTACTGTAAAAGGTTGGCACATTTTTTTTTTTTTTTTCAAAATCGTGTCCTCCTTATCGTCTTGCCAGTTAAGATCTGGTGAGAAATGTGTACCTGGTCTGCAACGTGTGTCTGCCCAGACCTGGAGCTGTCTGAGCCAGGCCCTCCCTCCCACGCCGCCACAAACCAAGCTGGGCTGGGACTGAGCACTTTCAACTCATTTAGAGTTTTTTAAATCTCTGCTTTTATTCAATTTTGCCTTTTTTTTTTCATCTCCAAAGGAGACGAACTTTCAACTTAAGATCTTTCATATCATTCCATGATGAAAATGAGAAAAATCTGCTTAATAAACTGCATTTTTAAATAAACATGTGGGTCTTTTTTGTTTGTTTGTTTGTTTCTGAAAACTGACAAGATCAACAGCTACTGGTCTGATATCATGAAATCTGACATACAAAAGGACTGAAGGAGCTGCATTTGTTTATTTTCCTGGAACATGTTGGAAGTATCAAACTTCTCATGTTGTGTTTGTGTTCCTGGTCCATCCACCTAAATGATCTCAAAATGCTAATGCTTTGATCCATTTGTTTTCTGTGATGGTCACCAACCTGACCTCATAAATGTTTAAGAGATTTAGTTTTTGGATTCCTTTAACATTTGCCTTAAAATGTCCAATCTAGAATAGAATAGACTTTATTGATCCCACAGTGGGGAAATTCACTAGTTACAGCAGCACGGTAATGGCTGCTGTAATCCAGGAGCCAAGATCACCCAGCCCCAGTGATCAGACCAGACTGCCCTCCTCCTCCTCTCCTCCAGGCTGCTGATGAGCACAGCTGACTTGAATCCCTCCAATGAGCCACACCTGGGATAAAAGGCTGTGCCATCCAGCAATCTGTTAAAGGTATTTAACACATACAAAGTATTGCATTGATGTTATAGTGTACCAGGATGCCAGTACATCTTAAACTGCAGAAGGGATGAAAGATCTACGGTAGCATTCGGTTTTACGTCTGGGATGTCTCTGCCTCTGAAGGAGCTGTCCATGGTCTCCACAGTGGGTGGGAGGTTTTTTATTATTTTTTTTAGATGGAGGTCAATTCAATTTTCTTTTTGTTAATTTATAAAGCACCTTCTACCACATTAGCGGAGGCCCAAGGAGCTGAACAGGACAGAAAAAGCAGAGTAGTAATAAAAACAACATATTGAATAAAAATCAGTAAAAGGAAAAACAGACAAAAGCAATTAAAAACTGTGATACAAATTATAAAAATATAAAAGCCAGTGTTGGGGTTGGGGGTAAGCTAGCAGATAAAAGTGGGTTTTAAGACGTGATTTAAAATCGTGAAGAGAAGGCACGTGCTTCACTGTAAGGGGGAGCTTGTTCCACACTGAGAAGGCCCTGTCCTACTTGATCTTGATTTAGAGCAGGACACCTCCAGACAGTCCAACAATGCAGACAGATGGCCTCCTGCCCTCCGAGCAAGTGGCAAATCGATTTGGTCATCTTCCCCAGCATCCTCCTTTCACACATCTCCTTAACTGAATCCAGTGGACTGCCCAGAACCAAGCTAGCTTTATGAGCAACCTTGTTCAGTCTCTTCCTGTCTTGGTCAGAGCTGCCAGCATCCCAACAGACTCCAGCAGAGTGGATAACAGAGCCAACCACAGAGGGATAAAAGGATTTTAGCAGCTGGGAATTAACTCCAAAGGACCTCAGCCTCCTGAGGAGGTGGAGGCAGCTTTGGCCCTTTTTATACAGAGAATCTGTGTTGTTGGACCAGTTCAGTTTACTGTTGAGGTGAACACCCAGGAACTTAAAGGTATCCACCACCTCAACGTCTGCTCCCTGGATGTTTAATGGTGAGTGAGGGGGAGTGTTTCTATAGAAGTCGGTCACCATTTCCTTTGTTTTACTGGTGCTAAAGCGAAGGTGGTCACGCTCACACCAGTCCACAAAGTCCCTGATGACTGACCTGTACTCAAGGTCATTCCCCTCAGACACGGTCGACAATGGCCGAGTCACCAGAGAACCTCTGGAGGTGACAGCTGCTGGTGTTGTAGGTGAAGTCCGAGGTGTAGAAGATGAAGAGAAAGGGAGAGAGCACCGTACTCTGCAGAGCTCCAGTACTGCACACAACCACCTCAGATGTACAGTTGTGCAGCCTCACGTACTGTGACCTGTTGGTGAGGTAGTTGTCCAAGCAGTCAGACGCTCGTCCACTCCTGCACGCCTCATCTCCTGCTGCAGTAGACATGGCTGGATGGTGTTGGAGGAACTTGAAGTCGAAGAACATGATTCTCACAGTGCTCTTTTGCATCTCGAGGTGAGTCCGCGCCTGGTGCTGGAGGTAGATGAGCGCATCCTCCACCCCTATGTTTGGTTTATATGCAAATTGCAGTGGGTCTATTTCCGAACTCGCAACTGAACGTAGATGGGTGAGGAAGAGTTTTTCCCATGGTCTTCATCAGATGGGAGGCCAAGGCAACTGGTCTGTAGTGCTCTGGTTCCCTGGGATGCTGCTGTTGAATAATGTGAAATTTGGAGGTAGGGGGAGATTTGCTGCTGAGTGGAGGTGGTTGGGAGATGGTGGAGTTGGTGGTACCTGTTGCAGCATATTTCTAATCATTTTTTTGAAATTTTTCTTTTTTTTTTTTTGTGAAGCATCTTGTGATTTTTATCTTGAGATGTGCTATATAAAAGATTGTTTTCTGTCTTTTCTTTCTTTTCAGGGGGAGGGGGAGGGGGTAGTCAAATCTGCTAAAAAACAGATTAAAGAACATTTTTGTTCTCAGTTAGAACTGACCTGTATGATCACATTAAGAGGTTAAAAGTTGGAACCAAAACCAGAATGTAACAAAATATAATTTGAAGTCTGCAACAAGATAAGTGTTACTTTTCAAAGCTGGAAAAATCCAATGCATTATCTGTGTGTCAGATGTTAGTGGAGATAGTTCAACGCGTCACGGCCACAAGCACACTTTTGACATGTTAAAGAGCATCAGTGGTACAGTTGGTGCCTTTGGTCGAAGGTCTCCCCGGTCCACAGATCGGTGTTTCAAGAATGGTGCCGAGCTGAGAACAGCTCGGTTCCCATAGCAGGCATGGAAGCCTGGAAGGGAAGTGAGTTTTCTTGTCTGCAGGTCGTCAGGTGGAGGCAAATTGAGTTCACTTCTTGTTTCTAGCTTACTCTTGTTTCAGTTATGGGTGTTTAGCTTTGTTAACAAAAAATTCTATTTTATACAGACTCTTGTCTGGGATCTCTAACAAAACTCCAGGTTAATAAAGCAAAACCATCTTCTGTCATGTTAATTTTATTATTCCAGAGGAAACAACAGATGTGACAGCACTTCTCAGCTTTGATGTTTGGCTGCTTTGGCCTTAATTATTTCCTTTGTTGACAAATCTGACTTTTTAGTGTGTGAATGGCTGAAAAATCACCTTTGAACATCATCTCTGATCTTTAATCTAACATCTAATTTAGCCTTAGTGGTGTTCGTTTCTCTAAGAGCTTAAAGCACAGCAGAAAGAAGCTGATAACTGATTGATTCTCAGTCACATGACCACTTTCAGATAGTACAAACAGAAGATTGATAAATGGGGATGTGATTGACTTCAGACAGATGGTAAAAAAGCTCCGAGCTCTTAACGCCTCTTCTGATCAGAGCTGATTTAAACATGGCTGAAAGCTGATCAGAAACGTTTGGCATCCCTGGAGTTAAATGTCTGGATGTGAGTGACACAAGGGACAGGGACAGGGGGCATGACTTGTGAGTATTTTTTAGGAGGTTTGACTTCACTCTGCACAGAGCTGACAGAGGAAAGCTCGGCCATGCTGCAGCAGCGGCTTTTACACTCAGTTAAACTGTTCTACTCGAAGAGTCGAGTAACCGGTTCCAGTCTGCCATCTGGGCTGATTCCGAGCGTGCAGCGATGTGGACGCGGACTGGTCTGGGACAGAAGCAAAGCAAGTAAGTGGGTTGAGCAGCATGAGCTTTGTGGATCAGGACAGCTGACTGAGAAATTAGTTTTAAACTCACAAAAAAGTCAGTTCAAGTAGATTTATTTGGTTTCTAAAAAGCTGGTTTTATGGCACTTTTGGCACAAAATAAAACGACTTTATGTCTCTGAAGTGCAAAGTTTACTTTTTCTATGAACAGGGACACACACACACACACACACACACACACACACACACACACACACACACACACAGACAGACAGACAGACAGACAGGGTCATGAACCAGAACCGAGGCGCAAATATTGATGATGTGACTGACTGCGATGCGGCACCACCTCTCATGAGGCGCGTGCGCTCTGCTCTCAGCCAAAGATCAAATCACTCCAGAATCAGTGGATTCAAACTACCAACCCGCATCTCCTCGTTCTTTTCCTTGCAGACTCGTTTCCTCTCGTGAAGAGTCTCGTGTGTATAATAGAACGCGTGCAGTCATTCATGTGCTCCTTCCTGCTGCAGCTAGAACACACACACACACACACACACACACACACACACACACACACACACACACACACACGAGCCTTTGTAAAATGATCACAAAAATCTAATTAAATACAGTTGTTAAAGAAATGTGTTAGACTTCTTAGACCGGGGTTTGTAACTTGACGGAAGAAAAAGCAATTTTACGTTTGCTTTTAAATCCAGAGAAAAGCGAATTCACCCCAAGAACAGAGCCCAGACTGAAGAGGTAAGCATCAGTGCGACCATAAAAGCAGGAGTTTGGCCAGGTTGCTCGTCTGGAGCATACAGGTGTGTGTTAACATAACGCTAAAGGAGCAGCTGTTGCTTCTTATCCATCTAGAGTTTTGGGATCTGCATAGGCCACATTTTAAACATGTTTCTTTGAAATGTACACATTTTCTTCTTAATGCTTTTATTTTGAAGTGCCATGCACAGTTTAATTTGAAGGAGACAGGGGATGATTAAAAAATTCACCATGACTGCTCTGTGTATAGTGCTTTTCTGAGTCCGAGAGCTCCAAAAGCTCTATTAAATCCTTCATCCACCTATGGTGATGAGCTCCACTGTAGCCACAGCTGCCTGGGGCACACTGATGGAGGCGGTGCCTCTGGTCCCTCCAACCAACATAGCAGCAAGCAGGGAAGGTGACTTGTCTGATGGAGCCTGGGTTTGAACCAGCAACTCACTGATCACAGGGTAAACTCCTAAGCCCTGAGCCACCATCAGCCCACCACACTCAGTGCGTATTCACTCAATATAAATAGTCAAGTCAACTAGGGAATAATGCTTATGGGGAGCCTGAGTCATGCCCATCTACCTCAAGGGTCCTCTACTGCCAAATAAATGAATGGGTGTCTTTGGACTGATAAAAGCTATGGTCTGATCCCGTTTGATAGGCATCATGGATTTATGATATGATGTCTGAACATTTTAAAGGCACATTTTGATGCCAAGAAAGTGCATATTTTAATTTTTTTTTTCTCAGGGGACCCGTGAGCCCACCGCAATGGGAGGAGGCTATAGGCTCTCTAATAATTATAAAGCTAATTAATACGATTGGTATAATATAGAATAATTATTTGGATGTATTTCTTGTTCAGCTCTTAGTGTAAGATAGTTCATTTTAGCTAACATTTCAGTAAAACTCTTCAGACCATCAGCAAAAATATCCTTTCACAGAGAAAAATATTCACAAGTCTACAAAGTTCAGGAAGCTTCTTAGGAATCCATTTTTAATCCCCCACCTTCCTGAAGTCAGACTGAATGTTAGGAAACGGACTCTACAGACCTCAGTCAGCAGGTCAAAGGTTAAAGTTCACGCAGGACCATTAGAGAGATACTGAGTTGGTTTTGTTGTTGGAAGGGTTGCAGAAAATAGCATCTTCATTTCTAAATGAGCATGGAAGTTTGAGCTAGACAAAACATCTGGGTCAGTGTCTTTTAGAAATGTGACATCAGAGAATAGATGTTTACCACAGTCAGCATGGTGGCGGAGGGCTGATCATGTGGGCTTAGTTAGCTTTGTGTTCTTGGTCGAAATTCCATAGAGTTGCAGGTTGCATTCTCCACTGGTCTGAGGTCAAATTTAAATAAATTGTTTCAATAAACACGGTTTGAAAACTACAGTTTGTGACGATCACCTGTGATGAAAGTTAAGACCTGTTTGCGTACTTATCGGTAGAGGTATGAACAATTAAACTGTGTCCCAAGGTCAGCAAAAATCAGCAGAGGTCAACTGAAAAGCTGTCTATGTTAAATATAAATATTTAATTTATTTCATATAAAGACAAAAAGAAAACCCCTGAGGTGATTTAGAGGCTCTGTAGGTGGGTTTTAATCCTTGAGCCCCTCTCCAGCCGCGTACTAAGTCCTTTCTGTCTCCTTTCCTCGCTGCAGCTCTTCCAGATGCGAGGGAGCGGACCCTGATCGCTGTAAAGCCTGACGGAGTTCAGCGCCGTCTTGTTGGACGGATCATTCAGCGCTTCGAGCAGCGAGGTTTCAAGTTAGTTGGACTGAAGATGATGACGGTACATAACGTGTTTGGGAGTGTTTGGGAGGTGTGAATGCTGTCAGATCTCTAACTGCTGCTTCTGTGAAGGCATCTGAAGATCTGCTGTCTGAGCACTACCGCGAGCTGAGGACCAAGCCTTTCTTCCACAGTCTGCAGAGTTACATGACCTCAGGACCCGTGGTTGTCATGGTGAGGGCTTCTATCTCAGCTGTTTGGTTTACGTAGTTTCATCAGTTTCACATGTTCGTTTGTCTTTAGGTGTGGGAAGGACACAATGTTGTCCAAACATCACGGACAATGGTGGGTCCCACCAACCCAACCGTGGCTCAGGCAGGAACCGTCAGAGGGGACTTCAGCATTCACGTCAGCAGGTAACCTGACGTCACGTGACCTTGCTATGGTTCATAAACAAATAAAAACCCTTAAGAGGACTTGGAGATTAAGTAAAAACACCTGTTCACTTTAAGGAATGTGGTCCATGCCAGTGACTCGCTGGAGGGGGCTCAAAGGGAGATCCAGCTGTGGTTTGAAGCTAAAGACCTCCTGGACTGGGACTGCTGTGACCAGATGAGCACCAGTGAAGATGCTGCCAGTCAAAAGCAGTGAGACCTGAGACATTCGTCTCCTTCAGTGGCGACTGATAAACACGAGCGATGTTCAGTAATCCATCTAAAGAACTGACCTCAAAATTGCACTCAAAAATGTAAACGTAATACTTGATGTAATGTGAGATTTTTGGAATAATCTATGTTAGCGGTACACACACCTTTCCATCCTTTACCGTTGGTGTTTCTTAGCAACAGCTTTAAAGGGATTTTTGGAGAAAATTTCAAGTGAGTCTCTGTGGAAAGGTGACCTGTTGCAGATAGCTCGAAGAAGCTTTACTGGTCAGCCTCAGAATGAGAAAATGCCATGCATTGTTGGTTCTTTTTTAAAACACAGAAAAGGGTTTCTGTGTTTTAAAGAAGAACCAACAATGCAGTTGGAAAAGCAACACAGTAAGAACATACCAAACATGAGAAAATGCCATTTTCAAATTTCAGGGTTGAGGGGCTAGCAGCTAGGCTGCATTCAGACTAACCGTTAGCTCATCAATCTTGTTGTACACAAACGATGTTTCTCTCAACTTAGAGGCATAGTAGTTCATACAAAAATTATTTTATAAAAACTTACACGGAGAACACTTTCTGATGTCTGAGCTGTTTACAAATATTTGCACACATTATTAGCAGCTTTAGTACTTTCGGGTAGCAGGAATATCAGGATGTTTCTGCTAGAATAAACGATGTAAAAAACACCTTCTGCACACATCACTATAAACTTTTAAAATCAGAGTTTTATGGAACTTTTTCTGCTTGGATCAGCCACTGATGAGCCAATATGAGTGGAACCATCTTGAAACAAAACAACACTTATCTTCAAAATCTAGAAGAAACAAATCAATCCAAACAATTTACACAAATGCTTTATTCTAAATTTTACACCACCAACAACAATGATTTTTAGCCTTTTTTTTTTATTTAGTCCAGGAGCTTGGCTGGCATCCCCAACACAGCAAGGAAAGTTACACTACTGACAAAAATGCAATATTAGTTTAAGCTCTAATTGTATACACGTACACCCATCATCAGAAAACATCAACAGGTACCATCATGACTTATCAGGTTTATCAGATTCTGTTGTTCCACATTCACAAAAACACGAGAAACAAACAGCTTTGGTTTTCCCGGTTGACAAATCAGATGAGGTTTAAACAAACGTGCCTTTATCTCAAAATCAAAAGAGACATTTAACACTTCTGACATTTCACTACAGACGTTTATCACCTGCAGCATCCTTGCACAAACACACACATCGTCCCAGACACAGCATGGTATTCTTTAACATCCCTCAATCCCCACACACACATGCACACTTGCACACGCACACACACACACACACACACACACACTTGCACACACACACACACACGCACGCGCACACACACATGCACGCTTGCACACACACACACACACACACACACACACGCACGCGCACACACACACATGCACGCTTGCACACACACACACACACACACACACACACACACGCACACACACACACACACGCACACACACACTTGCACGCTTGCACACACACACACACACACGCACGCGCGCACACACACATGCACGCTTGCACACACACATGCACGCTTGCGCACACACGCACACACACATGCACGCTTGCACACACACACACATACACGCTTGCACACACACGCGCACACGCACACACACACACACACAACTTTTAATACAAACTACCTCTGAGAAAGTAAATAGTTGTCAAAACATCAGGATATTGATTGTTTGCACAAGAACATCTAGATTTATTTTATTTCTGCTGAAGCAACATCATGTTCCCAGCACACTTCTACATAAAGCTGATTTATTTCTATTTGCTCAAACTGAATGAGTATTTTTATAAGTGTTTTGACTTCTGTTCTTTTATTTTCTGATTATCTTTTTACATCTAACACAACTGACTGGGTCTTCTCTGAAACTGGTTAATGGATCTTAGATGTTTTTCAAGACCAGATCAGAGTGAAACAAAAAAAATGTTTTGTTACGACTAACTTTCCTCTTGTGTGTAGTTCTGTGTTTCACAGTTGACCAGGTGACCCTTTCAGATTTATGTGAGCTTACTAATAAAAATAAATCCATCTTGTGCCAAATTGTTTGTGAATAATGTTGCATTTGTGTGTGTGTGTGTTATCAAGTTTCAAACATTAACAAAGGAATATGAGAAGATTTAAAAACCAGGGATATGAAAACAAAACATATAAGGTTTGTGACAGCTGTATGTTAACAGTGATTTAGTTTCCCACTTAAAATAATTAAACACATATTAAAAGACGAATGTAGCATCGCATCAGGAAGAGGCTTGTGGATGATTTGTCGGGTCTTCATTCAGGTGAAACTAACCCTGCTGCCCCGTCGGCGTCAGCATCCCAAAACTCAGAGTTTTCTGAGGAGAAAACCAGATTAATTACAACATAATCAACACTTTCTAATCCATTCTAATATAGCCCAGTTAAGTATCTTGGCTGCACTTTTATTACTGTAAATCTCTTCAGTGTTGTCTTTCATGGAAAAGATTGTGGACTTAGTTGTAAAAATGATTACACAAAGCATGTCCCTCTCTGCTGTGCTTCAGCTCTGTGCCTTCCCTGTTCATTCACACATAAGTGTGCACACTGAGTGCATTAAAGTGACAGTTCAGAGTTCTCCTCCTTTCAGGAATAACTAATGAATTTTTAGATATTTGTAAAAGTGTTAGTAATACCCAGTACTGTGATATAATGTAGGGAATGTGTCAGTTTTATTTTTGCTAAGCCTGCCTTCGTCCCATAGAGCCCCATGCAATTTGAATTGAGTGCTGCTCAGCATAAGCCAATAGCGTTGAATGAACAGCGCAACATAATAATAATTCTAATGTTTTTTTTAGCTCAGTTGGTTAGCTAGAGGTGCACGTTCACAAACAAAGGGCTGAAATAAGTAGAGGGACTATAAGGTGCAATGCACTTGTCAACCTCTAGGTGGTGCATTATTAGAAAATAACTCTAAATTATTGCTTTAAAGAACCAAAGGAACCTAGCCTAGCGAACTAGGAATTTTTGCTTTGCAAAATTTGGTCTAGGAATGCTCTCTGCGGTCCTTAGCAGCATTCTGGCGAGCCAATCACAGCTCTTTACCATGGTTTCAAAGCAATAAGAGCACTGTGATTGGTCCACAATGTTGGGCTAGGTACAGCACTCTATCTGGTTTGTGGGCCAATCAAGGCGCTCTATTGGTTTGGTGGGCAGGATGATGCGATGGAGTGGAACAAGATGAAGAAAGTTCGTTTGAAACAGCTTTTACATCAATTTTGGACTATTTGGACTTGGGCTTTGTTAGAATCAGGAACAGATAGATGTATTTAAGTCCTTTATTTAGGAAAAAGGATTTATTTTTGCCTTCTTCAACAGCGAACTGCCTCGTTTACCAACATCCATGAGTACATCACGTTGTTGCCTATAATAAGCTGAGATTCTTTGTACTCTTGTAAAAGTCAGACAACAAAACAAACTGGTTAAAGTTCTACAAACGCGATTAGTTGCATAAACCAAATGAGGACAGACAAAGAAAAGCAACGAGCTTCTATGGAAAGACTAAACGTCCAAACAGGAAGTCAGTGCGTGTAAATTGTGGGGGGTTTTTCAGGAGTTTTGATGTTTGGAAGTAGAACTGTATGTCAAAGTGTCAGTGGAGGTTGTACTACAGAATTTTCGGAAATGGGAATGTGGTTTTTTTATCTTGCCGCTGTGTTTTGCCCTTGTTCTGTTTCCTTGCACCAGTGTTTTCCAACTGCACCACAAGACACAAACGTGTGTATTTAAAGGAAGTGGCAGAAATGAGAAGTTTTTTTTCTGAAATTTTTTAAATTTTTTGAGCTGATTGTTGTTTTTAAATCAACTCACATCACAGATCGAAATCACGGGTTGAGTTTGTTTGTTGTTACCACTGTTGCTAATCAATGTAGGTCAGAAACACTGGATGGAAGTGATGCAAGCATGTACATCAGTCAAGGCTGCGCAAACAACCCTGTAACCATCAACCTGAGCATAAACACTCTAACACACACCAGTTCATCAACACGGAACAAACCTGGAGACGTTAGTTGATCCTGGACCAAGCTGTACACGTAGACTCCTTCCTCTGGACCCAACACAACACAGAGCTCCTCTTCTAATAGGGAGAACAGCTGCGCTCCATTTAAAATCCCAAGGCAGCTGACGGTTCTATCAGAAGGATTGGGAACAAGAAAGTTAAAAGTGGACCGCTCAGTGTAAAACGTTGGGTTATTCTTTTTTTTTTTTTTTTTTGACTGTGCTGACCTGGGAGAAGTTAGTGACCTAAAATTTTACTTTACATGGTTTTTAAATATTCTGCTCATAAAACATACGTTTTAATCAGAATCACATAAAAATGAAATAAATTACAAAATTTGTATTAAAAGTTTTTAAACAACTGCTCAACTGTAAATAAACTGCTGCATCTTGTGAGGCTGCTGTGTCCAACACTTACCCCTCTATGAGGTTCTTGGACCTAAGCCATGCCGTCACCTCAGCAGGTGAGGACTTGTAGGTCAGGGTGGACGAGGTGGCAACTACCTCCCAATCAGCGGAGCTTTTATCTTTAGTTAGCCACTGCAGAAGCTCATCGTTCATATTCTGGTCTGTGCAAACAAAGAAAAACAGAAAAATCACAGTGAGTCAATGCATCATTTTTTACTAGATTTCCATTATTTCTCAAACCGGCAGTGTTGTTTTTGTCCGGCATCTTTGTTTTAGTCTTAAGTCTTGAGGATGAAAATGCGTTTGTTTTAGTTTTAGTTGACTAAAATTCAAAAAATGTTTTAGCCAACAAAGATTTTTGTTTTTAATTTAAAAAATAATAATAATTAAACAGAGTATTATTCTTTAACAAAATAATTTATTGGTCAAACGTGTACTCTGAGCTACTGGAGTGAGTTTCATACCAACATCATTTACTTCATGGCTATGGGACACAATCTTAGCTGCCCCAGGCTGTGTCCAGTAAAACAATAATCCCTAGACTGGTATAATTTTTTGTTTACTATACTGTATATGATTTATTGATGCAGATCTGTGCATCATTCTGAAAGATTTTCACAAAAGAAATGTACGATTTTCGTTCTTTAGCAGAATGGACTATTAGGGAGCATACAGAGTATTCTAGGCAAGGCAAGGCAGTTTTATTTAAATGGCACATTTCATACACAGAAGCAATTCAATGTACTTTTCATTAGCGAGAATAGAAGAACATTCAAATCAACATGACAGAAAAAACAATAAAAAAAATGTAAAAGAAACAAAGTTTAAGTTAAAGGTTGAACAGTTAGTGCAAGGATCTCATAGCCCTGTCGAGTGTACATACAGGGAGGAGACCTGACACGTATTCTGGCCCCATGCCACTGAGCGATTTATAAACTAGTAGAAGCACTTTGGAATTGATTCTGTAGTTTACTGGTAACCAGTGTAGAGACTTAGGAACAGGAGTGATGTGTTCGGTTCTGTTGGTTCTCTTGAAGCAGCATTACAAGTAAGCTGCAGTTTTTTCACAGCTTTTTTGGGAAGACCAGTCAAAAGACCATTGCGATAGTCCAGCCTGCTGTAGATGAACGCATGAATGAGTTTCTCTAGGTCTTGTCCGGATATGAGACCTCTGAGTAGTGCTAGTTGATGAAGATGATAAAACGCTGATCTAGTTATAAATTTGAAGGTTGAATATGGACCACTGACACTGATGAACACTGGGGACCTCTGGTGTTCAGAGGTGATATTGCAATAACAGGACTAATTGTCCCGCCGTTGGGATGTTGGTTCACTGCTGATTCGTTCCAGCACCATGTTTTGAGACAAACCGTACAGGATAAGAACTACTTTCTACTAATACGTTTATTTTACAAAAGCATTTCTCGTTAGAACATCTTCTGCGCTCAAAATCAGCTGCTTGACTTGTCAAGAACGCCATTTTACACAGTCTAAACCTTGCCTTGCTGAGCAGGCTTTTTAGTGCAATGGTGCCCTCCAGTGGTTGTTATGTGTAAACAAAAACACATTGTTGTGAGCGACAGAATAAAAATTTGATTGTTTATCTTTTAAAATATAGCTTTTAAAGGATAAACGGTACATTCATTCTGCACATCTCTGAATGCCACGTGGAGTTGTTTTCTTAAAAACATAGCTTTTTATTAAAATGTTCCATATTCTAACTTAATGTGATCAGTGAAGCTCAGGTCTGAAAAAATTATGACACCAAGCTTTCTAACCTGGGTCTTTGTCTTTCTATCTCTGGACCCACATTGAGCTATCCTTCTTATTTCCAAAGACAATAACTTCAGTCTTGTCTTTGTTTAACTGGAGGAAGTTTGACTGCATCCAGTCATTGACTTGCTCCAAACAAACACTGACAAAGTGAGTCTAGGGGACCACAGTCACTAGGTGATGGAGCTAGGTAGATCTGGGTTTCACCTGCATAACTATGATAGGTAATGTTATTGTTCATGACCTGACCCGGCGGGGCATGTAGAGATTGAAGCGCAGTGGTCCAAGAATTGAGCCTTGGGGTATCCCACATGTCATGGTGATCTGCTTTTATTTGTGACTACCAATATAACCTCTGTCTTCAAGATAAGATTGGAACCCACTATGGACTGAAAGTCCCACCCAGTTTATGAGCCTATCAAGAGGATGTTGTGGTCTACAGTATCAAAATCTCCACTGAGATCGAGCATCATCAGGATAGGTGTTTTGCCTGAATCTGTATTTAGATGAATATCATTTAATACTTTAATGAGTGCAGTCTCAGTGCTGTGGTGTTGTCTAAAGCCTGACCGAAAACTATCTAGCAGGTTGTTTGTCTCCCAAAAAAAAAAAAAAACAATTCAGCTGGATCATAACAGCTTTTTCAATACTTTTTCAAATAAAAGCGAGATTAGAAATTGGTCTGTTATTCATCACTGGGGGATCTAATTTCCTTTTCTTAAGAATAGGTTTGACAGCAGCAGTTTTCAGTGATTTAGGAAAAATACCTGACATTAAGAAACAGTTGACAACTTGCAGTACATGAGCTTTAAAGCAGCTAAAAACATTTTTGAAGAAGTTAGTTGGCAGGTTGTCCAGACAGCAGGTAGATGAATTGAAGGTTTTTACTGTCCTCCAGTGTTTTAGCGCTAATCACACTACACAATATTTAAAGAGCAAGTCACCCCTACCAAAGTATTACTCCACTCCCACTTCCTGTTTGAAAAATACAACAAATGCTGTTGCCTAGCAGACCGAGAGGGTGGAGCCGCTAACAAATACACACACACACACACAGGCTCACAATGACATTGTGATGCCATATAGTACCAGCTAACTTTCTAAGGTACCTCTTAGCCAATAGCGATGGCAGATTTAAATTCAAATGCAGTGCAGCGTTTTTACCTGACAACGGCACAACACTGACAGTTTTAGGCAGAAAATTAAAATCTTAACTAGCACAATAATAATAATAATAATAATAATAATAATTATTATTATTATTATTATTATTATTATTATAGTAATTATTATTATTATTATTATTATTATCCATCCATCTGTGGCAAGTGAGGTTGTCAGTTGGCCTTTTTTTTTTTACTGTTGGCACAGCTGTACAGTTTTGGGATGATTGACTCGGGGCCAATCAGGGAGCGCTAAGAGTGTTTAAAAGTTGCTTGCGCTGTGTGACACGAGAATCGTTTGTCCTGAGTTTGTTGAGGAGACCGGGTTTGGCCCCTTGGAGGAGTGGGGGCGTGATGTGCTGCTCATGGTGCAGTGTAGGTGGGTGTTTCCGGGTTTTCTTTATTTGGGCGATGTGACGGTATTTAATGTTTAATGTTGGGCTTTGCAGGTTTTAAAGAAGTATCTGTTCTCCCCATTTGGGGGTGAGGAGTTGAGAGGCACGGCGTCAGCGTGGTACGTGTTTGTTGCTCTCATGCATGTTTCCACCTTTTAGCATTCTGATGTTTGTTTTGTGTTGCAGGAGAGAACTTATGGCGCGGTATGGGGGCCAAAATTAAGACTACTGCCCAGCAGCAGGAGGCTGTATAAATTCTGAAGCAAACTACTGATCTGATTAATGATAAGCTGGCGCCGGGAATGGAGAGGTTGGCGCTGCTTACTGAGAAATAGCACCTTTACCGGCGTTACTACAAGATACACTAGGGACTAGCAGCCCTCGGCTGGTCATTGACTGGTTCACACACTCCCTCTGCTGTCTACTAGCATGGATAGGCTAGCGTTAGCCTGGATGGGCTGGTGTTAGCATTGGAGAGGCTAGCCATTAGCGTGCCTAGGCTGGCCACTAGCTGGATTTCCTACCCCCTTGACGGACCATTAGCATGAATAGGCTGGTGTTAGCATCGAAGAGGCTAGCCATTAGCATGCCTAGGCATGGCCGACTAGTGACTCTCCGAGACATATTGGCTTGCCTCTCCGATGCTAATGCCAGCCTATCCATGCTTAAAGTCCTTCAAGGGGGTAGGAAAGACGACACAGTTGTTTCTGTCTTTCCCTTCATTTTATTGAACAATAAATATTTTTGTGCTTACCTTGACCCCCCTCTTCTAACGTGATCTGAGGTTGTGGCTTCGTAGCTGCTGGATCGGCCCCGTCTGTGCTCAATTCGGTGTTCGAGTGGCTCTTAGCTCGAGAGGTAGGAGCTATGTCCTGTAGTGAAAAATCATAAATAAATCCAAACTGTGGTGGAATGGCACTAAAAGCCCCGTAGGAGAGATGTGTCAGTGTTTTTGTACCTTTGATTCAGCTGGAAGTGCCTGGTTGTCTCCTCGTGGGACATTCCCAGCAGGCAGAGGCTCCAGAATATTATAGGGAACATATCCTACTTGGGCTTTTTGACTCCGACATTTCCACCAACGCTTTGATGATTCAAGCACCTAACAAATTGATGTCAAACACTTTAAACACTTTAAAGACAAATCTGTCGGCCGTGATCCCGAGTGTGAACTGTACCTCTAGTGTTTCTCCTTGTCGCACGGAGAGTTCACTGTTGTTTCGGGCCACAAAGGCATACCTGCAGCTGCAAAATGTCCCCTCTTTGCGTGGGAGCCTGTTTCTGAAACAACATTTCAACCTAACTGATCGTAAATGGATTTTTGCATTTTCCATTCCTGATGAGATAGAGTATTTGTGTCCTAGACCACATGCAGCTGTGATCAAAAGTTTAGAAAATGACTCAAGCGTTGGTTTGCACAAAGTTTGCTGCTTCAGCATTTCTATTTATTTTCGTCTCATTTAAAAAAAATACTGAAGTTTTCTTGATGATTTGCTCTGTGAGTTACTTTGGTTTAACGTCTGCAGTCTTACACGTTATCTGTGTCGTTCCCCTGGTTCTCAGCTTGGGTTTGTTCCTGCAGACTTGGCGTCTGCCTGCTTTCCCTGACAGCATCCTCTCTGAGCTGTGACTGGACTGGATCTTCCAGGACCAGGCCTGATAAGTCACAGGCTGGAGGCTTCCACCCGTTCAGGAAAACAGGTGAGTACGGAGGGGCGGATTTACTGAGAGGGAGTAGACACGGGCATCATTAGTTCATGTATCATAATGAAAATGAAGTTTAACATACTCTGTAACACAGACCAGGATGTCCAGTTGGTTCCAAATGATCTCCACAGCTCCTTTTCCTCTTCGTTCAGATGCTCCTGGAGCAGGGAAACCGCTCCTCTGGTCATGGCTGGACTGACCACTGATGCTCCTAATGTCGGCCCTCCGTTTGTTTTCGCCATCTGGTTGAAAAACCACGTCATACGGGTTTAATGATGTCACATGGCTTTAAAGATCTTTTTTTTAATCACCTGTTTCAGAGGCACAAAGATGTGGTGCAGCAGCTCTGGTGCATCCGGCTGTTTGAGGGAAAACTTGAGACGGTCCTGAACAAAACACCTATCAGCCATTTTTACATTCATGTGGAGATGTTTTGTCTCAGAGTTTTTCTGATTAATTACCAGCAAACAGATGGAGTACTTGACTTTCTGAAAGATGCCTACAAATTGTTCTTCTGGAGGAAGAGTGGCTTTTGTGGTCAACAGGTCACCTGCTGAGAAAGCAGCACATTAACGGTTACCAACAAACAGCCTAACAAACTGAATAATCAGCGTTTTGTTCACTGAAAATTTAAATCCCATGTACTTTATGTGTAAAGTCTAACAAGATGTAACAAGATGGTGCCTGTGCTTGGCTTAGCCGCAGTCACCGGCCACTTTTTCAAACTTTTCTCCAACCTCCTCTTTTCCACCTTGCTCCTGTCTGCAATCCTCCTCAGTAGTGTCCCTGCTACCATCTCCTATGATCGCCAGACTCTTTTGTCCTTCCGTTTGTTCACGATCGCCCAAGATGCACCGAGGACGTACCTTCAAGTTTGTTTATGAGTGGCGCACCGGCCGGGAGCCAACCGACGATTCTAACCAGGGCGCATCCAGCGATGTTTATCCGGTCCCGGGAAAACGTCGGAGGAAAAGAGGTAAATGAGCAGGAATCCAGGTGAGAATAAGACTTCTCTTAAAGCGTGGTTTATCTAGTAAACATCAGCGTGATCTTCTAGCTTCTTTTCCTTTGTTTGGTGACCTGAGCGCCACATCCACATTCCCGCCAGGCCGCGTTGCGGCGCGGTTTCTCCGTCCAAGTTTTTAATGTTGGTTTATCCTCATTCCTCAGTGGTTTCTCCTCCTGTTCCCTCCATAAGTGGTTTTTACAAACACCATGGATCTAACCCTGCTAATTTACGTCCACTAACTCCAGCTGTTTCTGTAGTTTCTGATTCCTCCACCTCACTCAGCATGGCTCTATTAAATACCCACTCTGTTAACAATAAGTCCTTCCTGCTCAATGATCTAATTCTCTCTAAAAACCTGGATTTTCTGTTTCTGACTGAAGTTTGGCAGCAAACATCTGATTATTCTGGTCTGATTGAACTCTGCCCGAGTGGTTATTCTTTTCTTAGCCAGCCCCGGGGTTCTGGGTGGAGGCCTAGCTGTTGTTTTCAGAGACCATCTTCCATGTAGCTCTACAACCTCTGGTCACTTTGCTTCCTTTGAACTGCAGCTGATTAAAGTCGGGCGTAAGGACCCGTTCTACTGTGCTGTGGTCTATCGTCCACCTGGTCCAAACATTTCTTTCCTTCAGGAGTTTAGTGACTTTCTATCCTCCACTGTGAAGCTGTCCAGACTGGTGATTGTTGGTGACTTTAACATCCACGTTGATGATCCCTCTGATCACTTTGCCATGAATTTCTCCAGCCTTATGGACACCTTCAGCTTTACCCAGCGTGTGTGTGTGCGTGTGCGCGTGTGTCTTCTCGATCCCCAGGGAGTCGTGGAGGATGGCTGCTTATACTGAGCCAGGATTCTCTGGAAGTTTCTTCCTGTTAAAAGGGAGTTTTCCTCTCCACTGTCGCTGCATGCTTGCTTAGTATGAGGATTGCTGTAATTGATGCGATTTTCTGGGTTCCTTATATAGAAAACATTATTTCTGATTGGCTTAATGAACTGTGAATTGGAATGTTTATTATGTGAAGTGCCTTGAGATGACTCTTGTCGTTATTTGGCGCTATATAAATAAACTTGAATTGAATGTTTCTGGCCCCACACATGCACCAGGGGGCACATTCTGGACCTTGTTTTTACCCTGAGTCTAAATGCTGACAGTGTTTATCCTGAGGACGTTTATATTTCAGATCACCATTGCATTTTCTTTAACTTGTCAGTTTCTGTGTCCCCACCTCCTGCTCGCCGTCTGGTTAGTTCTCGTTTTCTTAATGAGAGCACAGCTAGCAATTTTTCTGCTGCTTTTGATCCACCCTGTTCTTATGATAACGACCCAGATTCCTTAACTTCTCAGTTCAACGAGCACTGCCTCTCCATTCTGGACATCTGTCCTGTCAGAACCAGATCAGTTCCTGCAGTGAACCCTACTCCTTGGTTTAATGACAGCCTTCACAGCCTGAAGTGCCAATGCAGAAAAATTGAGTGTTTGTGGAAGAAAACCCATCTCTACGTCCACCTGCTGCACTGTAATGTGATGGAGGAGCTATTCCACCGAAGGTTATTTACCCTCTCTCCTCAGGAAGAACTAATCTGCATGAGACTGCCTCAAGGTCATGCATTTGCTTCTAAACTGTTTCCTTTCCAGCTCAAGATAAGAATGAAGAAAATAACTCTTTCTTTTAATAAATCAAAGAACTCTATTTTTAATAAAGTTAATCAAACAAAGTGTTAGGCAATAATGAGATGTGACCAATCTGTGAAATCAAAATATTAATTACTTGATATTATAATCCTATAGAATATAATAAGTAATATACCTTTAAATATTTCCACTAGAGACTGATCACATGTAAGGTAAAGTCACATGACACATTACTTTTACTGATCCAATCAGAATCTTCTGTCATGTTGTGGGGCAAGAGTCTAACCCAGGACATGCAGAATCAGAGTCAGAGTCGGGTTGTTTGAAAAAATAATAATTTATTGACAAAACGATGAACTAAGAGCGCACTGGAAAACCAGCGGGTGCAGAAACGGGAAGCAGCGTCTAGAGGGGAGAGGAACAGTGGTTCTGGAGAGGGAGCGAGAGGTGGAGGAGATCGGGTCGGCACTTGGAGGAGGGTGAACCAGGAGACGAACCAGAGAATAGTCCAAAACGGCGTTGGGAAAAATCCTGATGGCAATCCAGACCTGAGGTGAGTAAATCATCCGGCATCGAGTCATGTCCACCTTCCTCCTTATGAACCGGCCCGCTGATCAGCTGATTAGAAACAGCTGTTGCTCCCTCTCCTGAAACCAAGCACTCAGAGATCGTGAGAAGATGAGAAGAGTACTCACCCCGGCTCATGACAGTATCCCCCCCCCCCCCCCCCCCCAACGGACGCCCCCTGGCGTCCCAGCCGAGGCAGACTCGAACTCCCGGATGAGGGATGGGTCCTCAGTGAACGAACGCGGCACCCATGACCGCTCTTCGGGACCGTAGCCCTCCCAGTCGACAAGGTACTGGACTCCTCTGCCCCGACGACAAGAGTCTAGGATCTTGTTGACCGTGTAGACCAGACCACCCTTGTATAGTCGAGCAGGAGGAGGAGGAGCTGGAGCAGGACAGAGAGGACTGGAGACCACAGGCTTGACCAGCGACACATGAAAAACCGGACGCACACGCAGAGAGAGGGGAAGGTCCAGACGAACCGTAGTGGGAGAGGGTACGTCCAAAACCTTGAAGGGGCCAACAAAACGAGGAGATAACTTGCGGGATGAAGCCTTTAAAGGGATGTCCTTAGAAGAAAGCCAGACCCTCTGTCCAGGTGTGTAAACCGGAGCCAGACGCCGCCGGCGGTCTGCCAACTGTTTATTCCTGAAAGCCGTTCGGTCGAGTGCTGCCCTGGTGGAGGCCCAGGCGCGCCTGGCACCGCGGAGGAATTGAGGTACGGAGGAAACAGAGGTTTGCTGGGGAAAAAGTGAAGGTTGGTATCTGAGAGACGACTCAAAAGGTGACTGACCTATGGCGGAGGATATATGGCTATTGTGCGCATATTCAACCCAAGGAAGGTGAGTACTCCAGGAGGATGGATGAGACGAGCAGGCACAGCGCAGCATGTCACCCAGCTCCTGGTTCATCCGCTCACACAGTCTATTGGTCTGGGGGTGATGTCCCGAGGTGAGAGCCACCTTAGCTCCTAGGGCCTCCGCAAATTCCTTCCACACCCTGGAGACAAATTGCGGACCACAGTCGGACAGGATTTCCTCTGGGATGCCATGGAGATGGAGGACGTGCTTTACCAGGAGCTGCGCTGTGTCTGCGGAGGAGGGAAGAGATTTGAGTGGGACCAGGTGACAAGCTTTAGAAAATTGGTCGACAATGGTGAGAATCGTGGTGAAACCGTTAGAACTAGGCAGACCACATATGAAGTCCAAGGCTATGTGAGACCAGGGGCGAGATGGAGTGGGTAGTGGATGGAAAAGACCGGCTGGGAGGCGATGGTCACCCTTTTGTTGTGAGCAGGTATGACAGCCTGAGATATAGCTCTTGGTGTCTTTGAAGATGGAGGGCCACCAGAAGGTCCATCTTATCAGTGCCACGGTTCGACCTACTCCTGGATGTAAGGAAGATTTGCCAGTGTGTGCCCAGTGTATTACCTTACTCCGCATGGACTGAGGTACGAACAGCTTCCCCGGAGGACCGTGGTTGGGACCAGGGTCCCTCCTTTGAGCCTCCAAAACCTGGTCTCTGATCTCCCATGTAACACTTCCGAGGATACAGTCAGGAGGTAGATTGTAGCAGGCTCTGCTTCCTGATCAGGAGCGTATTGTCTGGACAGGGCGCCTGGCTTGGTGTTCTTGGAACCGGGGCGATAAGAGATCTAGAAGTCGAATCGTGAGAAGAAAAGAGACCAATGGTACTGGCGTGGATTTAATTGTTTGGCTTCTTTAAGATAAACCAAGTTCTTGTGGTCGGTCCAGATGATGAATGGGTTCTCCGCCCCCTCCAACCAATGCCTCCATTCCTCAATTGCAAGTTTTACCGCCAGTAATTCACGATCACCCACATCGTAGCGACTTTCAGCTGGGGTAAGGCGCCGCGAGAAGAAGGCACATGGGTGGAGGCGTTGATCCTTGTCCGATACTTGAGATAACACAGCACCCACTCCTGTGTCTGAAGCAACCACTTCCAGCGTGAATTGTCGCTGAGGGTCCGGACGGTGCAGGATGGGGGTGTTGGAGAACTTCTCCTTCAGAGTTTGGAAAGCAGATTCGGCTTTTGAGGACCATACAAAAGGCTTATTTACTGAGGTGAGACTGGTAAGTGGGGCTGCAGTCTGACTATAGTTTCTTATAAATCTACGATAAAAATGAGCAAAGCCCAAAAACCTCTGAAGTTGTTTTCTGGTCGATGGAGTGGGCCATTCCTTTAATGCTTTGACCTTCTCTGGATCTGCCTTCAAACGCCCGCTCTCAATGACGTAACCTAAAAATTTAACTGTGGTGACATGAAACTCGCATTTCTCAGCTTTAACATGAAGTCTGTTTTCGAGGAGACACTGAAGTACAACTC